CTCTTTCCTCTTGTCCTGAATTTCACTGTACAAGCCACCAAAACATGCTTATAAGTGGCTGTGTCAGCCAATTGCATAGCGCCTCGAAACTTGAGATGTCTATGATCATTTGCACACCAGATTATGAATTGCGAGCCAGAGCTATGGCTGTTCTCCACAGGTGAGATAGGACACCTTGTTTATGTTGTTGCAGAAAGAGCTTGATGGTGAATACTGCCAATTCAATCCCAATCGTCGTCATCGTCATTATCGCCTCCACGGTGTCGTCCATTTCCGCTCCGAATAGTCCGTCGCCCATGACCTGGCCGTCTCCTGCTGGAACCTTCGTCGCCACTATCACCCTCAGATATCTCAGAATCGTCCTCGCCATTTTTGAACTTCGTCTGGGCCAGAATCCCTTTCCAAAGCAGTCGCTTTTCTAGAGTCGCGATATTGAAGCTGTCAGCCCCGTCTCGCCCCCCGGCTCCAAGGCCTTCGAATCCCACCACACGCTCGACACCAATTCCGTCCTTGAACCCAATTACACAGGGAAGGACCCGTATGCTCAGCTTCTCCACCACGAAGGGGGTATTGCGCACATCGACGCGCGCGAAGCGCACCTCATGGTGTCGTGTTGCCAACGCCCGGATATGCTCGTCCATAACCCCGCAGCGGGCGAAATCCGGGTGGGCAAAATGGATGACACAACGATGGGTCCGGGTCGAGAAGTCTAGCACGGCTTGGTCGTCTTTCAGAGTAGGGTAGAGGCCTTCTTCAACGAGGGTGGTTGTTGGGCCGTGGGAAGAGGATCGGTTGTTTTTGGCCGCAGAAAACTCGGCATTCAGTTGTTCGATGCGATGCGCACGGTAGGCAGAGCCATCTTCTTTCTCGAGGGCTTCGAACAGGGAATCGTCGTCATTGTCGTCGTCTGGATCGCGAGCGGGGTGGTGCTTCTGCTCTGAATCTTGATTCATGGCGATGGGAGGTCTGTTCTCTAGACCTATCAGTCGAAGGAGTTTCTGAAAGGAAGACGCTCAGGAGACAGATGAATTCATGATTCGAGAGATCTTGAGAACTCAAAGGTTGGTTGATGAAAGCAAACAATTGTCACTGTAGAGTTAAGAGCACATGTGGAGATAAATCCATAACGGTCGTTACGGGAGGTCAAGCTCCTATTGCTCAGGCTCAGTCAGATAAGAGAAAATCTCAACATGGGACGTCCGCTACATCCTCTCATCGAAATTAGCCTCGTCCATCAGTGTGGAATATGCCCCTTGCCAGTACGTACTCTTCAAGAGTGCTTCAGTATTTTTATTCATTGCTTCCATTGGGTCTTTGTGTATCAATGATGGTAAGGTAGGTATTGAACACTCCGTAGGTAATCTGTGTTGTATGTAATTAATTATCAGGTACCTTACTATACAGGCTGTGTTCCGTACCCAAGGTACCTTACCTTTCCCTGGATGCCGCTTCCGGAACGGTAGCCTGGATCGTCAGGCAGAAAATTTTCTTCATTATTATTCATAATAAAATAGCAACAGTGATACCTCACTAATAATAACATTAATGATTGATTATTATTCTTCCATACAACATCCTCATCTTATCCGGACTTCTTCTTATTTACCACCCCCCTTTCCTTGCATACCATTCAAATAGGAGGGATATAAGGAAGTGGACTAGGAAACAAGGCTCTTTCCTATATAATAGTCCTATCATTCATTGCTTCTCATATTCTTTTTGTGTTCATCTTACTTTTTTTCTCCTTACGAATCTGAGATAACTTCTCATCAGCAATTGTTTTGTGCCACTGAAGCGCTCTCCCCTCCGTTCCTCGATTTCATCTGGATATTTCCTCGTTCTCTCGGTCTTCAGACCCGATTCTCAGTCTCACATCATGGCGGACGACAAGAAAACGAATGAGTATACCGTCGAGATGGATAAGTTGGATCAGGGCAACAAGAATTTCGAGGCGCCGCCTCCTGCTGTTCAACCCAGAAATCCTCCAGCTGGGCAGCTGGGCAATAACCCCATCCTGCCTGTGCTGGCTTATTGCGGTTCGTCTATTTTGATGACTGTCATGAACAAATATGTCCTTTCTGGCACGGATTTCAATCTCAATTTCTTCCTCCTTTGCGTGCAGGTAAGTCGAGGAGATTGGTCGGAGTGTAAAAGTCACCAAGCTTGAGCTGATCACGTCTTTTCGCTCCAGTCAATTGTCTGTATTGTGGCGATTCAAACATGCAAGGCTAGCAATCTGATTACCTATCGCGATTTCAATTCGGATGAGGCCAAGAAGTGTAAGCATCTCATTCCGTCGTTGGGTATCTGCAGGGAAAGCATTCTGACCAGTCTTTTTTCTCGCTAGGGTTTCCGATCACTCTGCTTCTGATTGGCATGATCTACACGGGCTCCAAGGCACTGCAATATCTGTCGATCCCTGTGTACACCATCTTCAAGAATCTGACCATCATCTTGATCGCCTACGGAGAGGTGCTTTGGTTTGGTGGTTCGGTGACAGGCATGACCCTCTTCTCCTTTGGACTCATGGTCCTCAGTTCCATCATCGCCGCGTGGGCCGATATCAAGCATGCAGTTGAAAGTAATGGGGACGCTACCGCCAAGGTGTCGACTCTCAATGCCGGTTATATCTGGATGTTGATCAACTGTCTCTGCACTTCGTCCTACGTCCTGGGAATGCGCAAGCGAATCAAGTTGACTAACTTCAAGGATTTTGACAGTATGTTCTCTCGTGTTTCTATGTCAGTGCCACAAAATCTTGCAGCTCATGGCTAACTTTCTGCCTCATTTAGCCATGTTCTACAACAATCTTCTGTCAATCCCTGTGCTTCTAGTTCTGACCTTATTGATGGAGGACTGGTCGTCGGCAAACATCGCGCGCAATTTCCCCCCGGCCGATCGCAACGGCATCCTATTTGCCATGATTCTCTCGGGTCTCTCGTCCGTGTTCATCTCCTACACCTCAGCTTGGTGCGTCCGCGTGACTTCGTCGACAACCTATTCCATGGTCGGAGCTCTGAACAAGCTGCCCATCGCACTCTCCGGCTTGATCTTCTTTGATGCCCCCGTCACTTTCCCCAGCGTTTCCGCCATTGTTGTCGGTTTCATCAGTGGAATTGTTTACGCCGTTGCCAAGATCAAGCAAAATGCCAAGCCAAAGACTGGTGTGCTGCCAATGTCGAATCCCCCCGTCAGTGCTAGCAGCCAGAGCATGAGAGACTCTCTGCGCTCTTGAATTACTCCATCCTGAAGTGAAGTTTAGCGAGAAGTCGATGTGCGCCTTATCATGAACGACGGATGCCCTTGTTATCATTTCGGATCAGCTCCCCGAAACGAACGCGGACTCGCCCCGAACATGAACGTGATATGTACCTATACTCACTTTCAGACGACGTAGTTGTTCCCATTTAGGTCAATTCGTTGTTGCTTTTGGCCTTTGTGGGTATCGATGACGCTTCCTAGGAACCTTCCCTTGCCCTCCTCGTATTCGGTTTTCCGGCAAGGCCTCCTCTTTCTGCTCACGTTTTTGTTTCAAATCACGAAATTTTGGTCACGGCTTTCATTTCACCCTCCGCGTCTTCCCGTAACTATGACAGTCTATTCAGGCGCACATGGCTTGCTCAAGCAAGACTAATTGGTTATACTTGCTCATATGCATGCCATTTTTCGCAACGTTGAGACTGCAGACCCATCGGCTCTGGAAGACAGCGGTTTTTCCTGTTATTTGACTGTGTGATGTATATATCAACTTTGTACTTCTTTTTAATATGGTTATAGAGCGGGTTTGGATGACATGGTCCGTTCTTTGTCGAAATTGCTAGGGATTCAAAGTACAGGATAGACATCAATTCAGCGATATAATAAAACTGCATATTCTACGAAATGAGCAGGCTAGTTATTCTCTGTTTCTAGTCGTCGTGGCATTATAATGACCTGAGAATTCGATTCAAAAAAATCCATTGATCTCGGGGACTGGATTGGCCCGCGCGCGGGCATGGAACTATTTTTTTTTTTTTCCCATGAGTGCAATGGGAAAGTACTCCCTAAATCGTTCAGTTATTCAGATAGTCCAGACAACTGTCCCAATTCTATCTTCGCTTAGATGAACGACACGAGCTGAAGGACTCGAGTTGATATATTAGAGACATGCCCAAATCGAAAAAAGTCCGAGCAAACGGGCCCCAGCGCGGTGATGGTGCTGGCTTCAGAGGAGCCCGGAAAATGCACATGTTTTCCAGATTATCTACATCTGCGGGGCCATCTTCGACATCCAAGAGCCAGAAAAGTGGCAATAGCAGCTATGGTACAGCGGAGAAGAAGAAGAAGAATCCGGCCCAACATCGACGGCCTATTGTCCCATTCGGACGGAGAGATCGTATCCTACTTGTGGGTGAGGGTGAGCGCTTCCTCTTCTTCATGCTCCCCTACTGCTTTTCAAGATTTTCTTTTCGTTTTGATGATTTTCTTTTCCGAATACGTGGAGCGACCAGAGTCTTTCAGTCAAGGTTGTTCTCCCTATTTATATATGCCATATGCTCGTCCCGACAGGGGTCATGCGAGTGTCGATGTTTCCGTATGTGTTGATATGCGAGGCACTCGTTGTGTTTGACTTTTTTGAAGTTTGGTTATACTAGCAACTTGTATTGACATTGATGAGCCCCTGGTGTCTGGCGATTCAAGTACTGGAGTTTCTGGATTTCGACTAGTCTGATGAGATGTTACTAGGAGATTTCTCATTTGCTCGCTCTCTAGCAGTCCAGCATCGTTGCAGGAATATCCTGGCCACCTGCTACGACTCAGAAGAGACGCTATACAGCAAATATCCACAAGCTAAACAGCATGTCGAGGGTTTTCTTGGCGCGTTCTCCAAGAAGGAAAAACAGAATGATCCTGATGGATCTGAGACAGAAGAGCAGTCCGAAAAGAAACAAGACCGCAAGCGTCGCGGTCCGAACGTACTCTTCGCAGTTGATGCGCGAAAACTCGGATCTTCCGCCGGAGGTGGGAAGGATGTCCGCACAGGCTTTGCACGCCGCGAGCGCAAACGTCCTGCTTGGCAGGAAAGCAGGCAGAAAACCGAGCCGGCTACCACTACAGGTGGTCCTTGGGATGTCATATGTTTCAACTTCCCACATGTCGGTGGCCTATCAACGGACGTGAATCGACAGGTTCGCTCAAACCAGGAATTACTTGTCGCCTTTTTCAAGTCCTGCGTGCCACTGTTGTCAGCCCGTCCACAAGTCTTGAACGGCGATGATGGAGACGAGGACGAGGACAACTGGAGCTCAAGTGAAGACAGTGAATCAGACTCGGGCGAGCAGGATGATCAGAATATCCTTGCCCATGGAGGGCGAGGTAAATACAGGACCGACCCGGGACAAATTCTAGTGACCATGTTTGAAGGTGAGCCTTACACGCTATGGAATATCAAGGATCTTGCACGGCATGCCGGTTTGCGGGTGGTCACAAGTTTTAGATTTCCGTGGAGCTCTTACCAGGGATACTCCCACGCTCGAACCCTTGGTGAGATCGAAGGAAAGCATGGGGGAAGAGGGGGCTGGAGGGGAGAAGACCGCGAAGCGAGAATGTATGTCTTTGAGGTCAAGCAAGAAGACCAAGGTGCCCTGCCTAAGCATCCGCAGGCTGCTTGGTTGGACACTAAGGGAAAGAATAGGAAGAGGGCAAGGGACTTGTCCGATAGTGAAGATAGTGACTAGGCTGTTGGAAATTTCGTTCTCGTACTTCGCCTCTTCTCTAGCGCCTTCTGAGTAATAATACACAAATCAGGAGACAACATGAAAACATGCAGCAATCTCATGAGTAAAATCTGGGTACCTCCACAACTACATGATGTAAACTTTTTTCATCTCACTCTCGTCGAAGATCTCGCCGGTGGTGGGATCTTTCACCTTGCCTGTTTCGACACAGCCAAGTTTCTTGCTCATGTCTAGTAACCGCTGCTGACCGTAGATCCTACCATTTGGCAAGACAATCGGGTCACTTTCAACATAGCTCTTGGCATGATGGGCGTACGGCATATTGCGCGCAAGTTCATTCAGCTCAGTCGAGCATATGGGACATACGGATGTCGTGGTAGATAAAGAGTTGGAGCTCGAGGAGGTATACGCCGAATGGCAAGATGGAGTCTTGAGAGCCGATAAGCCAGCAGACAATGCGATATGCAATAATGGGCGTGAAGGCAATGATAGAAGTTCATGATGAGTGCGGATGAAGAGGTCAGACAGGTGATTCCACCGGTCGAAAGAGTACATTGACTGAAAATCCATTAGTTGGGGGTTTTCAGGCACGATGGGCGGATTCAAAGACAAAGATGAGATGGAAGTACCTTGTACGGTTCAGCCTTGGTGTCTTGAGGGAAGGCGAGTAGTCCTGCGGCTCGATGAATTTCTGTTGACTGCGTTTCGGTATACGGAGTAAGATATCGTTTGGCATGTGCCATAGCATCCATAAGCTTCTCTCTATTCCCGGTCCTGATCATTTCGATGTACTGCTGCAGTCGTAATTCAAACTCCAGATTGAACTGTGTCTAGTTTGTTAGTGAACAAGACTGGATTCAAGACACAGCTATGTTCATGTGTACTCCACGAACCTGACTCTTCTTCAGCGCTGCTTTGTTCTCGTTACACCACTGCAAAGCGTCCTTTGTTTCCCCTCGGCGCAAGCTCTGAGCAATCCTTTGGCACTGTACGAAGACATCCAGATCCACGAGGTCTTCAATATCCTTCTCCTGGGCCAACTGCTGGGCACTTTCAGTGTACCCAGAACGCAGCATGTGATCCACCACCAGTCTATCCAGCCTGACCCTGGACCACTGGTCATATTTGACATCTGCCAAGCTAGGAATTTGGTGCAGATACTCCAGATGCTGTATGCGCTTTCGCGATTGCTCTTGGATTTTCTTCTCCTCTTGCTGGATACTTTCCATTTTCCGTTTTAGGTTTTGCATGCGAGCCAACATGGCGTCAAGAGCAGCGAGAGTTTGATCCGGTGTCTGAGCATTCGACAGTGAGGCATTGGCGGCCTCTTTGAGTGCGGGAATGACATATTCCCTTTCCCTCTCGACAAGTCGTTGAACAGATTTGAAGTTTCTCCGCGCAAGCTCATGAGGTAATCGTAGGAGTGGCTGATCCTACACGACCACAAGATGTCGACATCAGTACAGTATATAGGCAGGGACAGTGGGTGGGAGGTACCAGGAGCAGGTGATTCTCCGCATTGAGCTTCGTTGACGTGAGCTCCGCAGCCATGAGGATGTCCGGATCGTCTGCGCCTGACCGTATTAATCACTTCTTTGACGGTGACCCTGAATATTTTTAAAAAAAAGAGGCAAATCAGAATGAAGAGGATAGGCCTATAATTAAGGTGAGATTAACAGAGAGAGACAGAAAGACGTATTGTGGCGACGCAGCATACTTGACCATGTAGCAAGTGGGACGGGCAGCGGGGGAAATAGCCTGTTGGACTTGGGTGCGGAGAACATCGGCGAAGGTCACGAGTCATCCAACAATCAAACCTACATAAACTCAAGTTCCTTTGAGGAGATCGATGATACAATTTTTATATAAACAGTCGTACACTGGTAATCCGAGATGATACTTGAATCGTACACGCTACCTGGGATCCCCACGTTGGTTTGAACCATATTTGAATTTCTGATTCTTCCCAACAACCACGCGAATACTCATACGGAAGAGAGATGCAGCGAAAGTTCTTTCTATGATTTCTGACATGAAAGCAGTCGTTGTAAAGGATACAAGAACGATTAACATTGGTTCCCTTTTCAACCCAAGACTCCGATAAACAAGAAACAAAATAAGTTACAGACAGCTTGCCCATATGACAGTTCGAGAAGCGAATACACAGCAGCAACGAAGCCTTCCGAACCATGAAGGCCCGGTATCCGAGTAAGGCAAAAAGGTGCCGGTATATGTCTAGTCGCTGTCGTCACTATCCTCCTTCTCCTGCTTGGATTTTCTCCGTTCCTTCTTTTCCTTCTTCTCCTTCTTCTTGCGCTTGCGCTCTGCACGCTCCTCTGGTGTTTCGCCCTCATGTCTCTTGCGTTTCTTCTCCTCCTTGGTTTCATCGACATCCATCTTGGACTGGGGTGAAGATGGCGCTTCGTCCTGCTCGGTAGCTGGGGCAGCAGCCACGTCTTCTTTAGCTGTCGATTCAGGTGCCAGCTGAGCGGACGCTTCTTCGGGGGCGCTGTAATCCTTGTATTCGGTCTTCCATTTGGCGGGAGTGGCCTCATTGGATCGGCCATATTTCTTGAGGACCTTGTCAGCGTACAAAAACCACATAAACCCTATGTTCGAACGGCAAAACCCAACAACTTACATCCAGTTTTCCGGCAGACTTGAGCTTTTTCTTCTCCAGAGCTACAGGGCCCAGACCCCATCTGCGAGGGTAGAGGTCACGCTCCATGATGCAACGTTTGACCTTAGCTACGACACCATGATCGCAGGTCGAAAGTTCAACAGTAGACATTTGAGCGATACCAATGGCGATGGCTTCACCCTTTGTAGTCATGAGAACAACTTCTTCGTTGACATCAATGCCAGCCTCTAGACTTCAGTCAGCAATCAGGTGGAAATCGACATCACTAAGAGGAAACAAAACTGACCGAAGCGCAGGAGTCCAGGAATCATGAGCTTTGCGCCATAGCACACAGCATTGACGGCGCTGTCTTTAACGACAATACGCTTGTAGGTTGTGAGGAGAGACTCGAGAGGTCGGATGACTCGGCGCAGGTAAGACTCGTCCCGCTGGTTATCGTACATCCACTGCGCATCCAGGACATCATGAAGAGTCACGAGGCCGTTGTTCTCGTCCATAGCTCCACTTCGTACACGCCGAAGCTCCTGCATGTGAGCACCAACACCAAGCAAAAGGCCCAAGTGAACGCAAAGAGTTCGAATATAAGTTCCAGCCTCGCAGCTGACCCAGAACACGCCAAGGTGTCTATCGTTGTCGAACTCGTAGAGTTTGCTTTCGTGGATCGTTCTGATACGAAGCTGACGCTTGACAGCAGAAATCAAAGGAGGCCGCTGGAAGAGCGCGCCAGTCAAGGTCTCAAGAGCTCTCTTGAACTGAGCCTCACCACCGGGAATCTTGTCGTGAAGACGAATGACGCAGACGTATTCCTTTCCGGCACCTTGTTGGGACTTGACCAAGCGGGTGGCACGGTCGATACAGACGATCAAGCAACCGGTGACCTTCGGGTCAAGAGTTCCACTGTGACCAGTCTTCTCCGCCCTGCAAAGCACGCATGGTCTTAGCATCTGGTTCCGAATATCATGGCAAAAAGATTACAAATTACCTCAAGATTCTTTTCATCCAAGCGACAACCTCGTGACTAGATGGATTGGAAGGCTTGTCGAGGTTGATCACACCTGAACTGATGTAGGATTTCAGGTCCCGCTTGAGAGGCGAGCAACCGGCGGGAATTGGTGTGAAATGACCGGTCCTCACCATGACTGGGATAACATCAGTTCAAGCTACTTTACATAGGAACAACCCTGCCATCCTGAAGATCGAAGGACCATGAAACTGGGTCAAGTGTTCACGTACGCTTGTCATAATTCTTTAGCAGCAAGGGCCACTCTTCTGTGGAGATGTTGGAGGCACCAGCCTCAGGCTTGATGGTGTAGTCCATCTCTTCCTTAGCCACTGAAACTGCCATCTTGAATTTTGGCTTCAAGAGTTCAGTGTCGCTAGGTGAGGGCGCGTTTGGAAAGGAGCGCAGGAAAAATTGCACTGACTTCACCAAAGTTTTGCTCTGGCGCTAGTGAGAAAAGAAACTTTTGGGAAATTTTGAAGTGCGGCGAAAGGTCTAACTACCAAAAAGGTTAGCGCCGGAAATCCCAGAATCAGGCCAATAGTCCCGTGACTTTCATGAAAGTAATCAACATCATCAATACTTTTGTGCTTTACGGACTTTGATTTGCATACCTCTCTACGGAGCGGTGCACAAGTAGATAACACCTTCAAAGGGTACACTTACTTCTACATATAAGAGAATGCCGGAGTCCTGCGTCTACATTTAATAATTTCTGTGTTCTGAACATCATAATGTACTGGAGCATGAATGAACTACCCTACTTCTTGATCTCATGGATAATAGCGGAGGTGATACTTATAAATCAGGAAGCTGCCAGCCACAGTAGTATGCAGCATCAACAGCATCGACAAGTAGAAAGATAAGAAGTAAACAACAAAGCGTCGAACTCTGGGATCTCTTCCCAGACAAATTAGCTACCACCAAGTCTCCGCCCTGGCCCTCTTCCACCCCAGGAGCTTTGAAAGGATGAAGCCCAGCCACTTGACGAGGACGGGGGATTCTGGTCCGCTGGCCGATAGGCTGTTCCATAGGTCCGGTATTCCCCTCTAGGGGCGTAGGCGGCGAAAAATCTCCTGACGAATGCTGGCGTGGTGAGGTAGTTTCTTCCCCCACCGAAGGTCGGATAAAGGCGTGTGAGGAAATCATACATGTGGGCAGCGATGATTCCCATGCCCTCGCTCAATGCAGCGGGCCACCCGGCCAGGACCAGTGTGAGCACGAGCATCGCCCAGGGTAAGAATTCGACGGGTATCTGGATGATAACGAATGTTGCTTTTTTCCCCCGATTGTCCTGTGCAAAGGTATAGACAAATGCCAGAATCAGAGCTGTCGCAAGTTAGCATGGGTGAAAACACGATCTGCCAGGTTAGGCTCACCCGAGGTGAAGATTACGCCACTTAAGAAGTAACCTGCGGTGACCTTCGATTCATCAGCATTGTGTACTTGATCAAGGCTACTTTCAAGGGAGAAACTGGAACAGGTTTGAGAAGAGAGTATAACAGTTCATGATTGACATTACAGATAGAAGAGTATATGGAATGTAGGGCACCATAACCACCAGCGTGATACTATTCAATCACGCCGGCTATCTCAGTGGTCTTCCCACCATACCCACAACGCATACAGCCCTATAGGATCAATGCGAAAGAGGCGCTGTACGAGATGCAGGGGTGATCTTCCTCGCCTCCAGGAACCGCTTCAGCTAGTTTGAGGCTGGGCGGGCAGATAATGCGAGGTGACTATGCTAGGGCTGGAAGAGAGATTTGCAGAGAGATGAGGAAACGCTGAGGAAGTGCGGTGGTCATCTCTATCGGATAATAACCCATCCGATACTTGCCCCCTAGACTTACCATGATAACAAAGGCTACGAAGAACACGTAGGTGAAGAAGTCACCAGGCGAACTGAAACGGGGTGAGCCTGTCTCAAGTGCGCTGCCATAGGTATACACTAATGGCAGGTTAGCGTGGCTAAGGACCAGTCCGACATGAAGTCGTACTAAAGTAAAGATCGAAAATGAAGGAAAGACCCGATCCTGTCAGAAGAAAGGGTGAAAACAATCTCCACAACTGAGGCGGAAGCTTGAAAACCAGCGTCGGTATGAACACAACATAATAGCCGCTCAGTAGGCCACCATAAACCAGAGCAGACTGAGCAAATGTCAGAGCAGTAAGCGTCCTGTCATCGAACGTTAGACAAGATTCCTCAGACCAGTGCGTTCAAGGTGGCAGAGGTGTACCTCGTGACAGGAGGAGCAGACCAGAAACGATCCATGTTAGTGAGTGGAAATGTAAAATTGGCTTTCACTGCCTGAAGGTTTTGTTAGAAATCACAGTTTACATATCATAGGATAGTGGCGGTTTTTGCGAAGAATTTCGACTTAATGTCATCGAGAACTTATATCAAAAGGTGAAAGAAGGAGATTTTTTTCCGAGGAAATAAAACGTGTGCTAGAACTAGCTCCTGCTTGCTGAAGTTTTTCCGTTCCGTTAGACGAAGAGAACCCACTTTATTATCTTGAGAGACACTCCGACTGGCAACAGCAGGCGTATCGTCACGTGAATATCACGTGATATACGGAGACGCCTACCATGACCTCATGTATCTAGGTACAGTCATACTAACTTCTCTACCTTCTGTTTCTCCTTACGTGGGACCTGTACCCTACACGTAGTGGTTCATGCATTGAGCAGGAGTCGTCAGACAGAATACGAGCTACGCTCGATGCTCATGATACCTGTAATTGAATTTACAGTCAAGATGGCCTAGTAGAAAACATCGTTCCCCAATCCTTTCTTCGTCTGTATCTTGATATGAACAAAGTTTTTCTTTCTCTTTATATCTCTGTAAGCACTGCCGCACAAGCGACAAGATCCGTAACATGCCCAATGTTTCGAGGCTAATGACTTCGCTCATCACGAACCGTGCTCCATGAAAATATCATTGCAAAAATAGTGACTGGGGGCGAAATCATTCGGTAAGCCTCGAGTTTTCGATCAAGTGATAGAAGCTCTCATCGAGGAGCGGTCCATTGGTCACTCGCATGGTAATCAATATGTCGCACTGGAAGTTTGGGACAAGCTTCACTTTCATTGCCCTTCGAAATCCAAGCAGGATGTGATCAATCTTGGTTGTCAAATCTATCACCGCGAAATTTCACGTTTGTGCGTCTTCACAGTGCCTCTGACTGCCAAACCCCCATTGTTTCCTTCAATCCAGACATCCCAAGCTCCGTTTCCCTTGTCGAACCTGGGCTTACCGCAGACGGTTAAGTCCTCGCCAACGTATAAAGGACACAGATTTCTATATTCTATCTCACTGATTGCGTGGTTAGAGTCCACTAAGTAGCTCTGCAAAACCGTAAGAAGCAATGTGAGAGTCAGTGGGCCGTGAACAAGGAGTGATGGGTAACCTTCAACGTTCCGGGTATAAGATGTGTCAAGGTGAATGGAGTGTGCATTGAATGTGAGCGCTGAAAATCGAAATAATAAGTCTTTGGTTGGTTTGATCTTATAGCAAAATTCAGCGTCAGAGGGAGCTTTAGTCGAGAAATGACAGTCAGTACGTCCTCGAAAGCAAAACTTGGCTTGTTCTCAATTACCCTGAATTTTCCTGCGATTCTTCTCAATGCCCCCTTTATCTGTTTCAATTTGCTGCGCGGTCTTTTCGCGCATAAAAACCAGACTTCTGTTTTCGACAACTGATGACTCCCTGTCTTCATTTGCGTCCTCGTTCCATAAACGTTCCCTGATACTCTCCTCGGCCTCATCTTCCTTGACCGTGCCCATACGTCTCTCTATATCGACCAACAGTCTTTCCTCCCCTTTATGGCCTTTGACTACCACGTCGCGAATTGTTTCAATGCAGACAGCCCGACTGCCATCAAGGAGAGGACTATGCATCGAAGGGAATCTGACCCTTCCACCAGCCCAAAGACGTCTGATAAATGGCTGTCCCGGGAAATGCAAGGTATCAGTACCGTCAGGGAGTATTTGAGATAGAGTGACTTGAGGAGGAAAGTAGACTAAATGATGCCCTGGATTCAGGGGCAGCGGTCGCTTAATTGAGGGGAGGGTCGCATGATTGTATCCTGTGTGTTGCAAGTGTGGAACGATATCTATCAAAGTCAGGTTCAGGAGATGAGACGGTTGAGGATGAAGATAGTCATATATTAAAGGAAGTCGTCGTGCTATCAATTCCTGGCGCAAGCTTCCAGAGAATGTGGAGTAAGTTCGCATTTTGGAGCTTGTGTATAGCCGTCCCAATGGAAATAGGGAGCTGTTTGTATTTCCCTTCATCTAGCGATGCCGAATTCATGTGTAAAGTGCAACAGTAAGTCCAGTCCTTGAGTAGATGTCTTAGGCATCTGTGGCCGCGCGAACTTGCAGTTTCTGTTTGTTTTGTTTGTTTTGTTTGTTCTGATGGATTCGTCCTCCAAGTCAAAATGCCGGAGCTCAAGAAGGTTCCCGCAGTGCGGGGGGAGGGAGCTGATTGAGAAAGTTGGAAAACCCCTCCTTGACTGTGCCAGAGAATCCAAGGAGGAGACCAGATTCGGGGATCCATGGAGCCAATCAGAGTGACTTTTCTAGGCCCTGCAGCGTCCTTTTCCCATCAGGTCAGAAATGGTCAGCCCGTCATAAACTTCGAAGCATCATTAATGTGAAGATACAGGCTGCCGTTGAGTGTTTTGGTTCTTCGGCTGAGTTGTCACCCCGCCTATCGTTCGCGGATGCTTTCGCCGCAGTTCAGCAGGGCGAAGCAGACTATGCCATCATTCCCGTCGAAAACTCGACCAACGGATCAGTTGTCCAGAATCTTGATCTTTTAGCAGACCGATATGGGCTCTACGAAGATGTGAATGTATGCGGAGAGCATTATTTGACAGTCCACCATTGCCTGCTGGTTCGAAAGGGCCTGTCGCAACCGGATATAAGGTCAATAACAAAGCTGTATACACACCCCCAGGCATGGGGTCAATGTGAGAATTTCCTGGCAAAATTCTTAAAAGGCATCGAAAGGCAGGACGTTTCTTCGACCTCAAAAGCTGCTGAGACTGTCTCACTTGAGACAGGAGAACACAGTGGCGCCATAGCTAGCCGATTCGCTGCTGACTACCACGGCCTAGATGTGCTCTCGGAAAATATCGAGGACAAGGCCGATAATACAACGCGATTCCTCGTTCTGAGGAACACGAAGTCAGAACGTACAGCACGGCTTTCATTTGACGCTGTGAAGGCGCCCTCAGCCAACTTAAACCCCCGGCTCACACCGTCTGCGGAAAAAACTCTGATTTCGTTCAGAATCCGTCAGGATTTTCCAGGGGCACTGGCAGACGCTCTGTTGATATTCAAGGATTTTGGTATGAACCTTACCAGCATCAACACGCGACCGAGTCAGAGGAGGGCTTGGCAATATGTATTCTTCGTTGAATGCCAACAATTCCCTACCGACCAGAATAGCCAGGGGGTTACTAGAATTCTGGATAAGATGCAGCAGGTTACTGAGGGCTGCAGACATCTTGGCACTTGGAAAGACCAACTTCCAACTAGCAGAGTTTAATACATGCTACATGCTGTCTCATCTGACATCTCTTGAAAGCACAGATATGATTTTCTATATACGAAACGACAACTTTCTTAGAGGGATACTTTTTCATGTTTCATCGCGAACAGAGCCAGTCTGGCAAGTATCGAGGTGCATTACTAGTTTGCCGTTGGTCACATAGAGAACGTAGGAAACAAAAGAGCGTAAATGGAAGGAATTTCGGCCCAGTAAACTGGGCCAGAAAAGAACAGTCTCAATTTCGCCAGCTTAGTTCTTAAGCTCGACAATGTTTGTGAACGGCTGAGTTTTGCACAACAGATCCACCATTCTTCAGCAAAGTACACCTCGGGCCGACCTAGAAAAAACTAGGTAGCCTCAGTGACCATGTTACGGAGCTTGGATGGCCCTGATGCGCGGCGATTTGTCAGACTCGACTGCCCGGACCAGAGTGAATGTAGGAATTGGATCATAGACGAACCTCTGAGCAGCTTTATGGAAGTTTGTCCAGACCACGGCGTGGTACGTACCAAGGTAGCCATGGGTTCACCATGAAAGCCGCCCTCACGAATAACGGGGCGAGCCGTCAAAAGATCCACATTGGGAACTTCTGGCCGTTCATCCTCGCTCTCTGCGAGGCCGCTGAACCGTCAATCTGCGCAGATGCCCTGTGTTAGCATACATGACAGTTTTCTATAGATTTCAGGACGTACCGTCGTAAAATTCATCTTCGTCATCAAGATCGGCAAGTTGTTCGAAGTTGACCTTGTATCGCAAGAGTGCTCCAATCCCACCAAAGCCTTTCACAAACTGATTTCCTTCACTGGACTTATCTGAAACAAACTCCAACGTTGCACCAAAATCTTTGTAGTTCTCGGCAAGCCACTCGAGGAAAGAAGTCTGCTCAACAACTTCCATCTCAGTGCCAGTCTCTTTGTCGGTGAACAACGCTCGGTTCTCCTCTTGAGCTTTGGTGGCATGGACGATGACTTCAGAGCCAGTTGAAGTCTTGAGAACATATCGAGCCACGTCAAGATTCTCATAAACGATGAGAGTCTCCGCGGCACCGAGCTCCAAGGCCTTCAGGGTGTCATCAATACCATAGCAGACCTTTCCAGTATCTTGACTGATTTCCTGGAAGTACTGGCCAATCAGCTTCTTTTCTTGGACAAACTTGACATTGCTCAAAGTCTCCGAGGAGAGTTCAATAGCTTGGTTGAAACCATTTTCTCCGCCGTAAGAGACATCCACGACTTTGATAACCTTGGCCTGCAAACGCTGATCGAACATATCTGACTGGTTGAGGTCATTCTTGAAATCAGCGGAACCAGCTAGAATCAGGCCCGCAACGTTCACTTTGTCGTTCGTGATGAAGTTTTGGACAGCCAGCTCGGCAATCTTGCGCACATAGTTATGACGCTTTTCCTCACGCAAACGGGCGAAACGCAACGCAGACTGACCACCACGACCGTGTTTCTTGGGCAAATCAACGCTTAGCTTCTGAATGACTTCTCGTGTATTTCCACTTAGTGTGCCGAAGAGGGCGCCGTTTCCATCCATGACAATGAAGCCAAACTTCTGATCCGACTCAAGAAGCTCACTCAAGGCTTCTGTATGGAACTTGTTGTCACAAAGATAGAGCGAGGTATTGATAGGCTTGAATGGCTCGAAGTCAATGTTGATCTTTCGTTCTTTGCCTTCTGACGTGATGATTTCACCACAGTAGATCACCAGGCCATTTGGAGGAACCTTGTTGTACAGCTTAAGACGTTGCTGCGTAGAAGTGATGGCTGAAAGGACGGAGAGGCGGTTGACACGAGATTTAATGTTGGAAGCGGTACCCTACACATCCGTCAGTGGGCATAGACATAAATATGGACTCCAACCGAACACGACATACGAATTCTTCAGCCAACATCTTTGCCGCTCGCGAGACTTGATCTTTGGGGGCTGAGGATTCAAATTAGCGACGCATCGAGCAGAAGGGCGGATGCGAAGACTCACGAATGATAAGAGAAATCATCGAGGTTCCATTTCCCCTAGCGGCCTCAAGGCGCTTGATAAGCTTCTTCACCTTCCATATCTCGATGTTTTTCTCAGCTTCGTTCGGCTGAGCCGCGCTCATGTTGGGCGAGGCGACGGTGATTGACGACCAGAGGCAGAATAGGGTTCACAATCTGACAGTCTGATGCTGGCAAAGATTATTAGTAGCGGTAGAAGGCAGGGAAGCGGAAAGGGATTCGCCTCTTTATTTTCGAGGATGGATTCGAAATCAGATGAATCAAAAAGAAAAGAGACTGAGAGGAGCAATCGAGTCACATACCTTAAGGCTGGTCGATTTGCCGTCCAGGTCCAGCGGGGTGTTGGAGCAAATTTCATCAGGCACCGTGGGGTGGCAGGGACAGACAATAATAATATGGGTCGGCCGTCGCCTGTTTTTCCTGGATGACATAAGCCTAGTCTTGGAGGCACAGCAAGCGCCTTGTACCAATAATAACGTACCTTGATGATATTTACCGTCTTGATGTACTTCATGCAAGCAATAATAATATGATATGCACAAAAAGCCTTTGAACATGGGTGGTTTATGGACTGGATCCTTTCCCAAGTAATTGTCCTCGTGGCTCTGGTAATCATCTCTTTGTTGCTCTTCGAATTTCATAACACCACAGCTCAAGATTCAATCTGTTAGGATGCTCTATCGCTGTATTATTCTGGTTTTCACCAAGAAGACAAAACTTATTATGAGCGGTGTATAGTCCGCTTACTTTCTCATCCTCATCCATTGCACATTCTACTGTATTATTTTCATACTAAATATGAAAAGCTAGTTGGAATAAGGTCATAAGCAGTTCTTCCCTGGATGTCTTCTAGTACTCTTCACATCTTCTTCATGCTCTGCTGTCATTTATCAACATTAATACCAGATCTAGTCCATTGTCTTATCTGATTTCTACTCTGTAGGTCATGTTGAATGTGGAGGCTTCTTATCTGCCAGCATTCTACAAGTACTTAAATGAGCACTGATATCAGACCCCACTTCACCAAGCTTGATGTAGCTCTTATCTAAACCACTACAACGCATGTATTCATATAATTTTGCTTCCTCCTCATTATATATATGCTCTTATCGGTACATCCAGACACAGTCTTCTGACAGTTAATAATCCAGGAATTTGTACACCCTTTATCAGGACGACCAAGACGACTAATACCTTGTTGATTTTCGACCCGAGGTTCTATCTAGTGGGCTCTACAACTTCAGCAACAGTTCAAATAACCATCTTTTGCGGGCGAAACCCTGCCTAACAGGATACAATAGAAAAAAGAAAGTACAAAGGAGCGATGCAGGAACAGCCATTGTCAGCGGGTGAAATTCACGGAGACTTTTGCAGCAATGACCAGCGGTCACATGAAGGGAGGATTTTTGATTCCGATGCCTACAGCCAAGCCAGCTCAACGAGCTACGATGGCCATCCCATCAATGGCTACGATTTGCAGAGACAAAGGTGACGCACATCATGATTAAGATAGCTCATATAATGTTTCCCCATTAACGTCTTTGTCTAGGTCGTCTTCGTTCTCTGCGCGCTTCAGGTTTGCAGGCGGCCCCAACAGCATTGATCATTTTGCTCGCTCATGGCAACGAGCTGCTTGTTTCCCTGAAGTTCTCCCTCGACGTTCCTCGTTCGCGGCAGCTAGACCGGATGAAGAATGGACCTCGGAGTGGAATGAGGATCTTGCATCACGAAGCTCTTTATCATTCAGGCAGGAGCCTGATTATACACGGCCATTGCTGCATGGGGACGAGGAAGCAGGCGGAGGTAACACTGATCACTCAAGAAAAGGGTTTCCAAGTACCGCCATCCTTAGCTCATCGTTGGACAGAAGCCTGGGGACATCTTACGGTACGATCTCATCTAGGGTCAGCGAGGCGACTCGAAGAAACGCAATACAATTTCATAGGGAGCAACTGGCACAACGCAACGCATCTGTAGATCCGGATAGTGAGCCTCTCCTTGTCAAACAAATTCAGCACGATGATGGAACGCGAGAGAATGTCATTGTAGGCCAATCTACTGTGCCACAGACTGTTTTCAATTCGGTCAATGTCTTGATTGGAGTTGGTCTGTTGTCGTTGCCTTTGGCAATGAAATACGCTGGGTGGCTCCTGGGGTTATCGTTCCTCCTCTTCGCTGCTGTGACGACTTCGTACACTGCCAAGATCCTGGCTAAATGCTTAGACGTTGACCGCAGCCTTGTGACATATGCAGATGTAGCCTACATCAGCTTTGGGCATCATGCACGGATCGTGACGAGTCTCTTGTTCTGTTTGGAACTGATAGGGGCTTGTGTCGCCCTGGTTGTGCTTTTCGCCGACAGTCTTAATGCTCTGATTCCCAGTCTGAGCATCCTTCAATGGAAAATAATTTGCGGGTTTATGCTTATGCCGCTCAACTTCGTTCCTTTACGGCTACTAAGTGTGACGAGTATACTAGGCATCCTGTCTTGTACTTCCAGTGTGTTATTCTTGACTCTGAATGGTGCTCGTGCAATGGACTAACTACCTACAGTTGTCACCATCATATTCATTGACGGTTTAGTCAAACCAGATAGTCCGGGCTCCCTTCGTCAACCAGCCAGAACCACAATGTTCCCTGACAACTGGGCTACTCTTCCGCTCAGTTTTGGTCTTATTATGTGTGAGTCTACCTGTTCCTTTGTCCAATACTCGTGCGCTGACTTGACTTATTCTCAATTCAGCACCTTGGGGAGCACATTCATGCTTCCCGTGTATTTATCGTGACATGAGGCATCCTCATAAGTACGGCAAGAGTCTTTGGGCGACATATATATTCACAGTATGTATTGCAATACGCCGACGTGTCCAGCGCTAACATAATCAATAGTATTCATTGGATTGCGCAATGGCTATCGTGGGATGGTTGATGTTCGGTGATGGTGTTTTAGATGAGATCACAGCCAACGTGCTATTGACGACTGAATATCCACGGGCCCTGTCTATCTGTGTGATAGTATTGATTGCAATCATTCCGATCACCAAAGTACCCTTGAAGTGAGTGGACCTCATGAATACCTTCTCGGCGCCCGCAAGACAAGGAGCTGATCGAATTTAGCTGCCGGCCTCTAGTTGCCACCATTGAAGTTCTTTGTGGACTTGGACCGCGCCACAGCACGATCTCAGAACATCATGAAGGGTTGACAGACACCCTTCGCCGATCATCCCAAGCCGCCATACGCATCTTTGTGGTGGTTGTCATTGTTGTGATGGCTATCGTCTTCCCATCCTTCGACAAAATCATGGCCTTGATGGGGTCCGCATTATGTTTCACAATTTGCATCATACTGCCTCTCGCCTTCTACCTGAAAATCTTTGGTAAGGAGATCGGGATGGGCGAACGCATACTGGACTGGTTTCTCCTCGTCACATCATCCGTCATGGCGATCATTGGAACTGCCTGGGCTTTTTTGCCACAAGACATGATTTTCGCGAATTGAGCACGTTCTAATAGTCTTCGTTTCCCTTGCCGTTAGACATTTCGTTATTGAACATTGATGGCGAAATTGTTTCGCGTTCTCCCAGGATTCAGAAGCTCCTTTTTGAACAGCCGAGGCTTGCCATCTCGGTCATGCTCCCAGAGCTGGAATATCAATTTCGACGTCTCTTTATTCTTTGCCAATGTGAATCCCATACTGGACAGTATTTCTTGCAACCTACTCGGTGTCAGGTACCGCGAGTTCTTGACGCAGGCCAACGGTAAGACCAGAAACAGGCTAGGTCGGATGGTGATAGAAGAACCAGCCGGGGGTATCTCTGTCAGAAACTTTACACAACGTTTCAGCATGTCTCCTCTCCCTGTAGCATTCGGAACGTAGTTAAGCACCAAAGAAAGACTGATGATATGGAACCGATCATCATCAGCGCGGGGAAGAGGCCTCTCCATGAAATCCTGTTTCAAGATGCCTGGCTCCTGAGCATTCAAATCAATCCTCGTCACATCGAGGTATTGATTTTTAGAACATGCGTTTTCCGTACTTAGAGCCCCAACTTCAAGCATTCGTAGTTTACAAGGCGAATTCTTCAACTGAGCTAAGCTCGGAGCAATCCAATCAATAAGGACTTTACTCGAGTCGCCACCACGTTCCAGCGACTGTCCCAATTTGCTGGCAAGTTGATAGCTCTCCAGGCCACCATTTGCTTGGATCCGCCCATCGATCTCCTGGACTAGGTCCTCGTTGCCTGCTTGTAATGCCTGGGCTCGCGATTTCAAAAGACGATGATGGGAGCGGATGAGATTTCGGGTCGCCTTTGCTGAAAGTTTTGGATTTTTGGCTCTAGTTGTTGGCGGGCGCGTGTGAGAGAGCAGCCTTGGCTTCTTTAAACGCTTTTTGACGGCAGTCATTGTATTTTGAAGCTATAGAAACAATTGCGCTGGCTCAATGCTGAGGCGGCTTGAGCGAATCTCTTGAAATAAAGGAAGCAAGAAAGAAAGAATAGAAAAACACTCACTTTCCGGATGTACGTGATCACCACATTCTGCTGGCTCAGGATAGATAAGTGCTACAGAGTAGTACTTAGATAACCAAAATAATACACTTAATTATGTCCTTAAAATCTTAATACCTTTTTTTTTTGCCTAGCTGAATTTAGACGGAGAAAGCGGAACGGGCTCAGTCAGCGCCAAGAGATCAAATGCTCTCAGCGAGGGGAGGTCAGGTGACCCACACAGTCACTCGTAGGGTTTTCGCTAAGCGAATACTCTCGAAATAATTCGACTCTCGACACTGCGACAATCAACACGACAGCGCCGGACGACAGCCATGGCCCCTAAGGTGGAAAACAAGCAAGGTAGGTTCAATCTGAGCGAGTTCATTGTTTCCTTGAAACTGCAAATGTGTCGACGGTTGAGCACGAGTTTGTGGACATGAAATGAATATGAGAATCGCCAAATCACCGCACCTATGCCCAGTCAATTTATACATATACGAATCAGCGAGAGCAACATGTCACGACTGCGCAACGATTTTTCTCTGGATTTCCTCGTTCGCTCTCGACGTTTTGTACTATGTTGGCGGAATCTTCAATCGTGTCAAGTTTTTGGACCAGGGTCTATCTCCAGTGAAACTGACAGCTTCTGAATTAAACAGGCAAGACCAAGCCCAGCGACAGGGCTGGCGCTGCTGCCAAGGCAGTCTTGAAGGGTGCAGGCGTATGTTTAAACTGATCCGTCCGCGAAGCCTATATTCCATTCTCTGTACTAAGGTCCTGTGGTTCAATCAGGCGCACAAGTCTCGCAAGATCCGCACTTCCACCACCTTCCACCGTCCCAAGACCCTTCAGCTCTCCCGGTCGCCCAAGTACCCCCGCAAGTCGATCCCTCATGAGCCCCGTCTCGACGCCCACAAGGTTGTCCTTTACCCTCTCAACACCGAGAGTGCCATGAAGAAGATTGAGGAGCACAACACCCTGGTTTTCATTGTGGACGTCAAGGCGAACAAGAGACAGATCAAGCTGGCCCTCAAGAAGTTGTACGATGTCGACACCGTCAAGGTCAACACTCTCGTCAGGTATGGACACCCTGGTTTCGGTGATTGCAATGAATCTGCTGGGGACACTCTTCTAATTATCACACAGACCCGATGGATCTAAGAAGGCCTTCGCTCGGCTAACCCCTGATGTGGATGCTCTGGACATTGCTGCCACCAAGCTTGCCATTGTCTAGATAACGGTTTTCTTTGGGTCTGGGCGAATTTTGTTGTTTTGCGTGGTGGTTCATAAATATCAGTCTTCGAAACTTGCCGCGAGTGCTGCAAAGAGGGCTGAATGATCAATTGAAAAAAGAATTACTTGAATGCATGATTTCACCAGACCTTTACTTGGCGTAGATCTGATCTTGTAAGGTCAAGTAGGTCGAGCAGTCGTCCTCGAGCCTGTCGGGTTGAGCTTACTAGCCTGGTGTCGTTGCTACCGTATGTAGATCCAAGCCAAGCGCAAGGAGCATGAGTAGACTATTCGAAACAAATGATTGAGAGAAATTATATTCCTGACTTATAATATACGTCTTTATCAAGTTTATATATAATAAATATTATAATTTTGTTTTAATAGCTTTTTAAATCTTTAATTACAAAACTCAAGTTCCCATTTCGCGCGGGCGATCCGGGGTTCGCCTTGCATCGTTACATAGCATCAAACATATGTTGCCATGACTTCTGTGGAGTGTACTGAATTTTGCAGAATTCCTCATTGATGCTAATGAAATCATTGCCCTCCTCGAAGAGTTTCCAGGTGTTTGAGGACGGCGAAGTTCGTGTCCATCCATCGTTCGACACAGTTTTGTGCGCAGCTCTCCTCTCCCTGACCCAGACGGCCTGAGGAAATCTTTCCAGTGATGCACTTCTTCCAGCAGACATCGGCGAGGTGGTGAACCGCTGGCCAGACGCCGAGTCAGTAAAGATATTCAGAGAGCCAAATACTACTCCGGGCATATGTCCGTAACATTGCCCCAATGCGAGCGAGAAATAATATCATGACGAGTGTAGCTCAAGAGATCACTTACTCTGCTGAATGTTGGATCGCTGAGCCTCGTTTTCCAGGAATTGTGTCAGTTCTTTTCTGTCGGCATCGCTGAGCTTGGCGATATCATTTTGAGTCTGAGGATCCATTTTCTCTGCCAGAGATAGTGGAGAAGAGAATTCTTCTGTATATAAAATTTTTGAGCTTGTTGTAGACAATTTCTTAGACCACAATCACGAATTTTGGAACGCAGCAGATGGAACTGTGTATGGAGCATTAATACTACAAGCAAACAAGCAGTACCTACTTTGCAGTTTGAACATTTGAAAGTAAGCGGTGGGGTGCGGCAGAAATGGCAGCATATCATTTTTCCATGCCTACCATTACTTGTATCGTCTATCTTCCGGATCAATAACGCCCCTGGGTCTTCTGGAAGGCTAAGGCAAAAACAGACAGACTTCTTCACACGATCATAGACAACTGAAAACCTATTCTTATTTTCCTGGGCACTACCTCTCTGAATCTCGCTAGAAGAACATCGTCGAAAGTATGCCTCCGATACGAACCTCGCGCAATCGTAAACCACCGCCTGCAGGCTTCGATGATATAGAGGACACTTTGCTGGAGTTCAGCAATAAAATGAAAGATGCCGAAAACGCGCCACATGATGGAAAGAAGAAACATGAGATGTTATGGCCGATTTTCCAAATAAGTCATCAGCGTGAGCTTTCTTGACGTGACGCTACCGCTGGCTATCAGCTGACTGCTTCGTAGGCTCGAGATACATATACGACCTCTATTATGAGAAAGAGGCGATATCAAAGCAGTTGTATGATTGGCTTCTCAAGAACAATTATGCGGACGCCAACCTCATCGCCAAATGGAAGAAACAAGGCTACGAAAAGGTATCGTCAGAGTCCCTCATATGTTCCTGTCTGGAGCAATATCTATCCGACCTTCCAGAATAACGTTGGACGGGCAAGTGGTATGCTAACTGTCGACTGATGATTGTATAGCTTTGTTGTCTCCGCTGCATTCAGACGAAAGAGACAAATTTTAATGCGACATGTATCTGCCGGGTGCCGAAAGCCCAATTGAAGGAGGATCAGATGATACAGTGCGTCAGCTGTGGTTGTCGAGGCTGCGCAAGCAGTGATTGATACTTATTTCCGCCGTCATTCGCGTGAAGAACTCAGCCATGAGGACATCCACATTACCAAGGCTGGTTCTGGTCGTAAAAGGGTTTGGTTTGATTGTGTAGATTGATATCTCCTTCCTCGTCTGATTGATCTCTCTCTTCTTACTTCTGGACACTTTTTCCCCCTGCTAGACCTCAATTGTTTTGTCTAGCTCAAGTGTTCAGACTACGTCTTCCCACAAGCCTTTCTTTCCTAAGCACATGACATGATACCCCTCATATGATAACTCATGATTTCACGAATTCAGGCAAAAATTTCCCGAATTCTTTTTGATTTTCTTCATTCTAAGAGAAATTCGAATATAAAACCTTCAATTGCAGACGTGAATACATTCAAATAATCCTTAATTACTTCACAAAATTAAGCGCCAGTAGGAAAATTGAGAATGGATGGAAAAGCTGAAATCATCAACAATTGTTTCATGTACATCTAACAAATATCGTCATAAAGGTCATGAAAGGGTCATCACAGTTCAGTGGGAATTCAGATTGATTCCAAACCACGCCTTAACTCAAAACTCCGGGAAAGTTCAGTATGTAACCAGATAAAAAGAGAACGAACCAAACCTAAATCACTGAATGAGAACTCCAAAGTATCAACCTCTGTAATTCCCCTTCGATCATGAAGTGCGCCGACGAAGCCGCCCGTGAATTCAGAACAACAGCTCGTAAATTGGGTATCGTGAAACAGAATTCAAAATCCTTCGTCTGTCCCTCTCTAGTGAGGGGTGTTCATTATGCCTCAAAATAAAGCAGTATTGCTTCTGATGTTCAATTGAGGTCTTGAAGTGTGCGATTTGGATCTCGCAGATTCGTCCTTGCTCGAACTTCCAATCTTCTGAAAGCCTTGCAGAAGGTCGACTCCGTCTACTTCCACGGGGCTTTCGTCGAAGAGATGGAATGAGAAAAAGTCGTCGTGAGTGGCATCGCCAAAACGCCCATGTTCAGATATTTTCGATGGTGATTCGGGGAACAAAGGACCCTTGGACTTGGCAGACGACAAGGACTGGATGCCTGGTTTGCTATTGACACTCACGGAAGTGATATCGGCAAGAACGGTACCGGTATGGTTTTCGGGATCCATTCGAGCACGTTTCGCGGACCGTTTCTCTGGTGAGCCATATGCCGGTGTCGAGATTCCTTCTTCTGCAGATTCCGCAAAGACATCGAAAGTCGCATGAAGATGGTCGCTTGGGGTATATGTTTCGTCTTGGATTCTGAAAGCAGGACTCCATGGGAGGTCCTCATCTGTCAGTCCCAGATGCTTTAAGGGAGAATTGACCATTTGTTGGATTTTCTTGCGGTGATTCCGGAGATTTGTGTTTGGAGAGACAGACGGCGGGGGCTTGGTTGGCTTCTTGAACTTTATCACCGGCGTGAGAGGAGGCGGCAACATGCTGACGTATTCACCGCGAACCGGTGAAGACCCGATTACTACCCCAGCATCTTTGAGCATTCCGGGACGTCTTGGGCTGATATCATGGGAAGAGCTTCGAATTCGAGCAATCTCCTCTTCTGCTCGGCCACGTTTAATACGAGGAGGGTCAATATCCAGGTCCGACGTTAAGATGTGCCCTGTCTTCTTTGGACGCATAGCTGAAGACTCCAGGGAAGAGAAGTATCCGCTATCATTCATCGTGGTCGATTCTCGTTTTCGAGAGCGAGGAACTATGGCGGAAGATATGGGATGAGCAGGCGTTGGGGGTGTACCCTGGCGAATAAATCGAGGGGGTGCGATGGGAGGTGAGGAACGCATTGGTTGAGGTGGAGAAGAGCGCAGAGGCGCCTGAGATGTAGTAGCATTCGCGCCCTCGTCACTCGTGTCATCCTGAAGAGCAGGGTCTGAGGCGGGTATTGTGGCATCAGAAGAAAGATCCACATTTTTGGAGCTCTTCGGTACTAAGGAGTGGTTAGGGGGGGGGACGGCCCATGTTGTTGTGCTAGAGCTTTGCGTGTGAGCAGGCTCTCGCTGGGAGGTAACCGGAAGAGGAAGACTTGACATGGTTGCACGACGCAAAGGCTTATCCTTAAGAAATTGGGCTTCCATTCCGGGTTCAATGGCCCAGTAATTTCCCTTGCCTGGGTCATCCTTCGGCCGTTCCTGCTTAATAAAAGCTTTGTTCAGACTGAGGTTATGACGAATGCTATTCTGCCACCCGGGATCGCTGTGTTTGTAATAAGAAAACGTATCTGAGATCCATTTGTAAATCTGGGCCAAAGTCAAACGTCGGTTAGGCGCACGCAAAATAGACATTCCTATCAAGGTCGCATAGCTGTAAGGAGGCTTTGTGCCATCGTCTTCAATGGGAGTCATCTCTTGAGGATTCGGAAGCCGCGCAAGATCGACATCTTCGCGCTTCTGCTTCTTGATCGTTCGTTCCTTCAATGGGGCAGCATCCATGAGGGTCCTCTTCAGAGGCTTCGATGTAAAAGATGGTTCAGGAAAATCGGCCAAGTTGTCATTACAAGACTCAGCCAATTGTCGCTTCTCCTTGGAGGACTGTTTTTCATGATTGACACTGGGAAAAGTCGTAAATAAGGCAGATTGTGGCATTGCCGAAGACGAAGAGGTAGCGTATGGATATGTAGTACTTGGAGTCCTCTTAGCTGGCGAGTCTGTTGTGAACTTCGGTGGAGCCGGGGCCGTTATGGGAATGAAGCCCAGTTCGCGACGGCCAGAAAGCGAAGTTTTCAGTCCACGAGGTGTTTTCATGGGAGACGGTCTATGAGCGCTGGAGAGTGGCGGATCAAGTATGCATTCTTGACCGGAAGGAACATTCTCTGGTGGCTGTAAGGGTAATGACGATGGACATGATAGACCGAGACGCTGCGAGTGGGATTGAGAAACCTTCTTGTCGTACTCTGCAGCCGGTTCTGAAAGTGGCGGCACAAAGGGCGCGGAACGCGTGGGATTCATCTCCAGTGATGTGACTGGCATTTGGGGACTGCACCCGCGTTCGTGGCGTAGAAAATTCTGATCACAATGAGAGAAAGATATTGCCAGTTGCAATGCGCGCACTCTCAAGGAAAAGGTCTGACAGCGGATAAGTATTTCTGAGGTGAGAACGTGAAGCACCTCTTCAAACTAGAATTTGAAGGACAATGGCTCGCGCATAAAAGCAACCCGAATCAGGTATCGACGCCTAAGGGAAAGAGAATGATGATAGCAGAAAGAGAAGTTCTATTGATAAGTCCAGGTTGTGAAGGAGGAGAATCGGTGATTGGGCCCCAAGGCGCTAACAAGAACTCATTGAGAGCGCGGCCCAAGACAAATTGGCATCGAACCACCAAGGATTTGAAAAATGGCTTCGTGAAGTTTTATAGCGAGCAGGGCAATCTCTTGAGCACGTCTGATCAAGTAAGCAGTTGTTGAAAGCGTATCTTGAACCCCGAAGGTAATTCAAGCGAGGGAAGAGAGACGGATCGAGGTGGGCAAGAGGAGAGATGGTCGGGAAGACGGGGCTCGACTCTATATCAGATCCTTTTGTCTGGTTCGTTAACTGGCAAGGACTGTCTCCAGCCCAGGAAAGGTGGGGCGCAAAGGCAGATGGTTGACTTCTCCCTTGTTATAATTAGTCGACTGTGGAATGGAAGAAAGGATATGTGCATCTCTTCTGGGATGTTGATTGTCGCGGACTCGCGGGGTGGTATGGTATGGTATGACGCGTCCGCGTCACGCGTCAGGCTCCCCTCACAAGTTCACAAACCAAGGACAGAAACAGAAGCCAGAGCAGGCTTCTTATATCCTCCCTTATACAGGACAACAGGTACAGAGTACCTAGGTAGGGTGTTACCTAGGTATCTTGCTATCTACTTAGGTACCTAGTACTTGGTATCATATGATTTATTGTCATATATAACATACCTTAATGACGATGTGCGCCCCTCATGTAACTATATGCACCTAGTTTCAAAGTACCTTAAGTACGGAGTACTATGTAGATAATGACTAGGCACAGGGGGCACTTATGTGACTTTCTAGGCCACTTATGTAGCTGCTGCTAGTACTCCGTACTACCTTACTATCTTTGCTTTCTTATGCTATGGAGTTACGGAGTACGGAGTACAACCTACCTGTTTGTACCTTATGTTTAGGATCTGAATCCAACTTCTCTCTCGCCGCCCCCTTGCGGCTAAAATCCTGCCACTCCCCTCCTTCCACTTCCCTTTTTATTGTGAGTTCTTTGCTCCTCATAAGATCATAAAAACACTTCAATTTCCTACCTTACTTCTACTGTCCACGGAGTAGGCAACAAGGTCCCTTTTCCAAAGTTTTGAAAGTAAGACTCCAATTGGTAACATTATTCCATATCCAGATACTAGTGCTATCCCTAAACTGCTTAAGGTACCTAGAACTCCTCTAGTCAGTAGTCACTCTACCTTAGTGTCTGCATGAAGAATCCGCCTCCACCGTACCAGCCATTGCGGCATTGCAAATATGGAGTAAGGTACCCCGTAGACTAGATCCAATTCCTAGCTAGATGCTAGGTATACCGTTAGTTATCTAGGGCCCAGGCACGACAATGTTGATAAGCCAGTAGATAATGGGATCCATAATCCATTAATATTAACTAACGAGGAGGGGGAAAAAAGGGTTGGCGAGGGATGAGACAAATTGCAAACTTATGTTCTCGGTAGGTCGAGACTCTAGAGTGGCCTCGAGGTGTATTATATAGCTCAGTACAGAGTAGATAGTGGTTTGTAATGCTATTTGCATTTTCAATCTGATTAATGTCAAGTTCTTCTTCTAGAACCAAGCAAAACATAAGAAATTGCGTGTCAGAACACTTAAGTGCAAAAGTGATTATATTGATCTCACCATCCACCAAGTGCACCTTCTCTGAACCTCCCTGTAGGAATAGGAACAGGATACAAGCAATAAATATGCCAATGATGAGCCTTGGCTGAGACAGTGAATCAGAGATACCAATACTACATAGCATCATAAGATATGCCACTGACAGGCAAAGTCATATCCTGAAACTAAGGATGGGCGGGCACCCTATGAATCACACAAAGGTAATATTCTCTGAATCTCCATGTATCTACGGAGTACTATGTAACCACATCCTAATGTGATGTCAGACAATTGACTGATATAACACCTTAATGTTATCTGTATGTATGTACGGTAATGTGCCTTTAGTACAGCCCTTGAGGTTATTGGGCCAGCTTTTTCTGTTTGCCAACAGGTTGCATAATCCGGCAGTTTATGCATAGTCATCCGGTGCGTCTGAAAATTGTGGTCTGAGAAATGAACTCGAAGATTATATGGTAGGTAGCTTTATCTGAGGGTTAATTGATGTTCATAATACCCTTTGGGCGGCAGGGAGGGTAGGGAGTTTACCCACACAGTTGGCTGTTTTGATATGCTATTGTGACTTATTCCAGCTTTTGATTACCATGTGCTACTACTAAGCATGCATACTCCATATAACTATATGTGCGTGTATAAGTAAGGCATGCCTTGATAGCTATGCTGGTGCAAAGGGTGGCCAGCATCAATAGGGGCTATACTTACATCGAGTTAGCCCAGGAAATTGCCCATCTTTTGAAAGAAAGGAAAAAAGAATTGGAAAAGGTTGAATCACTACCAAATAGCAAGCTTCTTTTTCACCAATACTATTGCCCCTGGGCTCTGTTACCTAACCAAAATAATTTCATTTCTCTGCATAAGTACTCTGTGATATTCAAATTAAATGTGTACATCATATTACCCAGATATTCGCTGTCCCTGCAATTAAGAACTTACAGTGGACTCTTCTATGGCCAACCAGTAGAAAACAAGAAGCTGCTAATTGACCTGGTGCTTATGAATCAATAATCCATACAGACAGTACAGAGTGCTAGGTAGTCACAGTATAGACTTGTCCTCCAGTTCTGCTCATAAAACTCTAATTACAGAAGAAAGCACACAGGAGATAAATCTATCAATAATCTTCTCTTGATCTATATACAGTCATGAATACTCACTTTTATAATGGTTATAAAAGAGCACAAACCCATCTATCTGCAAAAGTAAATAATGTGATCTCAACAGGAAAAGAAACAAGGAACTTGAAGAAGAAATGAAGGCTGCATGCAAGGACAAGACGGGGAAGAGGGAAGGGCTAAACACTGAAACATGGAGTATCCCAAAACAGGAGAATAATAAGGCAACATTGGCGATCGAGGCATATTAACACCAACTCCAAGAAACAAAGCACAGAATACCAATCCAACCGCGTTAATAAACATAGACATGTTCATGTTGCTTTTCCCGTATAATCATGAAACCATTAGTTTGACTTTTCGGCCTCCCAGAGAGCTGAGAGTCGCTCCCTCGGAGTACTAGAGGAGGATCCTGCAACACTGACTCTGAGAAAGCACGAGGGTCAGGCGAAGAAGACATGTCATCAGTCCAGGAAAGTAAACATGCTAGTGTGAATGATATTGAGAGCACGGTCTGCGTCCCTTTCTTCAATGACACATGAGATGTTTATTTCGCTTGCACCTAAAGCATGATACATGCAATCAGCTTTAAGCTTCAAGTGAGGATTAACCCAGAAGTACCAAGGGCACTTACCCTGCGATATCATTTCAATATTAACATTATTCTCACCGAGTGTGGTAAACATGCGCCCCGCAACCCCAATCATGTTCTTCATTTGCTTCCCAACCAGGCTGAGAATGGCCATCTCTGGGATAATATCGACTGTACCATATTTCTGCAAGTCATTCAGCGCGCCTTTCAGATCCTCGTCGATGATCTGATACTCGTCTCCACCAACTCCATTGAGGAGAGGCATCTCCGAATGAAGGGCCATTGACACATGGACCTCACTTGTAGAGATCAAATCAATCGAGAGTCTCCAGCGGTCAAGGACAGAGAATATCCCAGCAAAAAAGCCATGAGAAAGCGAGCGCTTGTTTGAATGCACATTGATGACGAGTATTTTATGTTTGATTGTGACAGCTGTCGGTCGCTTCGGCCTCTGCATGAGACTGGGGCTTCGTGTACGGAAGAGTCTTGGATCATGGCCCGGGGTTGTTCTTTCAAGTTCGTATGTGGAGTCAGGAAAGATCACGGTCCCATCACCCTTGGGATTCATAACGTTCTTTATGCGAATGGGAATCCTAGCGCGGATGACTTGCTCCATGGTAAAGGGGTGAATCACTTCGGAGCCGTAAAATGTCAATTCAGCTGCCTCAGCGGGTGTGATGGCTGGCAGCAGACGCGCGGTTGGGACTTTGCGAGGATCAGCGGTGAAGATCCCGTCAACCTCCTTCCACACCTGTAGTTCTTTGGCATGGACTCCGACTGCAACAAGTGCAGCGCAGAGATCTGTGTAACCGCGACCAATTTGGTCAAGAAGACCCCCAGGCACAGTCCCGAAGAAGCCAGTGATGACCGGCACTCTTCCTTTGCAGTCCCTGATCTTGCTGCCGAGAACAGTAGCAAGATTGTTATAGAAGTCCTGGTCGAGACCTTGACTCCCGATAGGGAAATCAATCACTTCCGCCAGATCCACATATTGCGAATCCACACCACGGTCTTGTAGAAAAGCAGCCATCAGCCGGCAGCTAAGTTTCTCGCCTGTACTGATGACTTTGTCCACACAACGCGCACTTATCTCCCCGAGCGTTTGAGCCGCCTCTAGAACCTTCAGGACTCTTTCGCACTCGCCATTGATCTCTGCAATTAACTGAGCTCTAAGGGTTTCAGATTGAATCTGATTCTCGACGACCTGGACGTGTTCGAGCCGAACTGCCTCCACCAATGAAACATACTCGTCCGACTGGGCGTTTTCGGCATCACGGGCTGCTCGCAGGAGACTATTCAACCATTGCCAATGAGTAAACGAGAGATATAAATGAAGGACTGAGAAGAAGGGAGGGGCATGGAGATCAAATATTTGCGCAGGAAGAGTTTCAGTTTGTCTACTATGCATCAACTGGTATGACTCACCGGTTCGTGGTACCTTCAGCTTTGGTTGAGCTGCTTCTTGCAGAGCATACCACGGCGACTTTGCTTTCTCTGAGACTCGGCCTGGATGATGAAAATAACAGCAGGGATATAATTAGAAAACTTGCTCATGTTTTGAGGCGGATATATGAGGACTTACAGCACAACCTGATCAATGATATTCAGGGCAAACTTTCCGACACTGGTGCCCCCGAATTTTTGTACTACCCAGTTTGAGCTGCCATTGACCATTAACAGAGTATGAGGACTCGAGTCGGATTGTATTTGGCCTCCCATACTGCTAGATCAAGTATGACAAGACAAGCTGCCTTGCAAATACAAGAATTCAACCTGTATGACAGCGGTCCTGTAATCGGCGCGGGCAGCAGAGCCACCTTTTTATATGGACTGGCGGGGTTGCGAAAGCGGAGCACATAGTGAATACTTCGGAGCCCAGCTTTTTTTCTCTGATGATTCATCCTCGAGAGGCTAAAAAGAATAAAAACATAAAATAATAAATAGCAAAAGAAAAATAAAAAGAAAATAAAATAGTATATCAAATAAATGAAAATAATTAATGAAAATAATAATAAACGGAGTACCCCTCGTTATAATTCAGCATATCATCATTATCATTATTTAGTATTACTATCGATCCCCTGATATCTTTATCATTTTTATTATTTGTATATCGGAGTCATCATCCGAGTTAGACCTTGAGGTGGTCCTAAGTATCCGTCCAGATCTCCGTGTCTCAGGAATAATAGAAGAAATAGCTTTTCTTGCTACTACTATGAGACTGTACATAAGTTTACCTCGCTCGCCTCTTTTAATCAGTTGCTTTCCGATAGTGTAGGTACCTAAGAACTCGATCAGGCATCCGTGCTCACCAGTAGGATGGAATAAATAATAATAGATATTGTTTCCACGGCCGAAGTCCTCAATTCCCAGTGAAAACATCATTCCCTTCCATTGCCCCTCCCCAGACAGAAAGCAGATAACCACTCTCAGGAGGTATACAAAAGGACATAGCCCCGCCGTGGCTTTTCATAGGAAGAATATAGTTACTAGCGAGTGCCCTGACTCTTGTGACTGCAATAATAATGTGTCAAGACGGCGTTCATCACCCAACCTGTCCATTCTGTCCATTCTCTGATCCTGATGACACCTTTGTTGCGCAGCATGTTGAATACTGTCATCCCGAAGGTGGCAGACAATTCGAGACTCCCTCTGAAGAAAATGGGGATGAAGATCAACCAACTCCCAGATACCAACAACCACAAATCCCAGGTGATGAAAATATGTACATCGAATGTCCACATGGCTGTGGTGAGATCCTAGTATCTGCTGAAATCCCGTATCATCTTGATATGCATGCCGCAGAAGAGATGGCAGTTGACAACGCGCCATCGATCTATCCAAAACCCTCTGTGAGAGTGAGCGGAGTCCAGGACCACGACCGTTCACGCTCAAAAAATCGAATGGGCGATGACGGGACTCTCGAAGATTCTTGCAACGTTTCAGTTAAACCCCGGTTTCCAAGGCAGGGGCCTGGCCCATCGTCAACGGAAAAAGGGTTGACGAGCTCCATGCTAGCCAATGTGTCGCCTCCTGGAAGTGTGAAAAGACTCGGAGTACTATGCCCGTGCTAAAAATTGCTATTGATATTGCGCTAATTGGGGACACAGCGTGCAGAACTGGGACCATACGCTCATGAAACACGAATGCCGTCGTGGCTTCGGAGATTACTAGAACAGGGTGCAAAGAAAACACAGTCCAACATCATCGGCCCGGATGGCAAGCTTTTAAAAAGAGAGACAATTGAAAACGAGACCACCAATGTGATCTCAGTGCTTGCCCAACTATGCCAACAAGACAAGTCTGTTCAGCGAGCTTTTTTCTGCAATCCGAAGGTCCGCCAAATTTCTAAGATGCCAAGGGAAGGCGGCTTCTGTGGTTACAGGAATATTCAGATGCTCATTTCGTACATTCAAGAATCTCATATCGCCGGTCATGAGCATTTTACTGAGACGCTACCGACTATTCTGCAGCTACAGGATATGATCGAACGTGCATGGGATATGGGATTCAACAGCGTAGGAAGAGCCGAGACCGGGGGGATTCGCGGCACCAGGAAGTACATTGGCACGCCAGAGGTAACGTCAGAATGCTAAAATGTGATAAATGACAGAATTCTCATTCCTACAGGCACAGGCTCTATTTCTGAGTCTGGGGATAGAGTAAGACCAGGTTTTCTTCAGATACCACGGAGCCAAGATGCTGACCTTTAGCAGCTGCGAAGCAAATAGCATCGGAGAAACCAGGGAGATGCGTGCCCACGACGCCTTGTACGCGGCTGTCGCGGCCTATTTCCGGTGCGCATGCTCCTTGGACGAAGAGGACAAAGTCTTTGTGACTAACCTACCCCCCATATATCTACAACACCAAGGTACTTTGGTATCAACATTGAATCAATTCCGCATATTGGCGACTGATACACCACAGGCCACTCCTTAACCATCGTTGGCTTCGAAATTCGGGGTGACGGAGGTGCGAATCTTCTGGTCTTCGATCCAATGTTTAAGTCCCCGCTGGCAGTGAGACGTCTCAGTGGACCAAGAGCAATAGCATCTCCCGATCCAACGAAGGTCCTAAAAGCATATCGGCGCGGTACTACCTATTTGCAGAAATACAAGGTGTTCGAGCTTCTCAAGTAAGTTCAGCAAGCTTGTCTTGTGATTGACTACTCTGACTTCTTCAGACTGCGCGTTTGTTAGTCGTTGCCTTCAATTTGAGTGAACACACCCGAGTTCAGCTTGACGTATTCTTCACTCGATGTGGGAGCGAACCAGGAATTATCATGGTTAAATTCCAAAGTGCATCTTGGGGCACGGCTCGAATGATGCTATTTCAGCATATACGGAGTAAGAAGGGGCCCGATGTTATATTAGCAGGTCTTTCTTATTGTACCTTACTACCTTTTAATGTACAGGTAGAGAAGGAAGAAGGGTAAGGTATTTTCGAGACGAATATTTTCATCATATGCCGAGTAACTCTTTCCAACAGAGTCCGTAAGGCATACAAACAAGATAAATCGTTAATATTGACTATTTCATAGAATTTGCTATCAGGTTCCAGGGAGTTTAATAATGCCTCTGCATTTAAGCACTACCTATGATTTGGATTTACCTTTTTACGGCTGTGAAATTCATGCCTGAGGCATAAAGCACTGCCGCCCCGATGAAAAATTCCCCGAACCCCTCGATTCCATTGCAGGGTATCAGACACGACTCAAATCATCACTTCCTGAGCGCTTAGCACTCTTGCTAGGGCCAGTATGCGAAGATCCCCGAATGTGATCATCACCGGTACCCCTGGTGTAGGGAAAACTGTTCATTGTGAAAAATTAGCGCAGGATGTCGGCTTGCGACACCTATCCATAAACCAGGTCGCCAAAGATCGAGGTTGCTTCGAAAGCTATGACCAAAATTTGGAAACCTGGATCGTTGACGAGGACAAAGTACGTCGTTGATTTTTCGCTATTCGTATTGAATTCGCAACACCTATGAGGATCTTGCCTACGTTCCAGACTCATCCCGATTTTACGCACGTAGACTGATGTGACGGTAGTTACTGGATGCGATTGAAGATGAAGTGCTTCAGGGCGGCTACTTGATTGACTGGCATGCGTGCGACTTGTTTCCCAAATCATGGATAGATCTCGTGGTGGTCTTGCGATGTCCGTCGACTTCCGTTTTATATGACCGTCTCTCTGCGAGGTACGTGCATGCTACTTCTTCTTTCTCTCCCATAACTGCTCTTCACCCTTTCCCTAAACTCGCCCTAACATGATCTCGCTTTTTCCAGAAATTACAAGGAGGCCAAATTGCAGGAAAACTTAGATTCTGAAATATTTGGCGTCTTGTCAGAGGAAGCGCGCGAAGCTTTTGACGAAGAGATAGTGGTGGAGCTCAATAGTGAGGAGGATGATGATGTAGAGAGCAACTGTGCGAGGATTTCAGCCTGGATAGAATCCTGGAAAGAAAGCCGACTGGAAAATATAGAGTGAAGCCCGATCTGTGCAAACCTAATGGCTTTTGCAATTACACCTTTCAGGTCCTCATACCTGCACTATCAAGGTAGAGGTGCCCCTCTTCGAGCCACTGCTTTAGCTTGACAAGAGCCTTGTACCTGTGAGAAACTCGATTCTATCTCAACAAATCAGCGCAAGATACTTGAACAGTCCTCGAAGACAAATATTAAGGTCCGACAAGGAGAGAGGGGAAATGATATCTCCGTTCCTGTGTTTCTGTCCAACTGTGGAGCGAGCAATTGGAAGGCACTTAGATGTCTTACCTTTTCCTCCTTATCCATCTCAGCATATGTCATCCCATTGTGTTCGAATATTGGATCCCAGCCTGGCATAATTAATGAAAAGTATAATGATCATGACCAATCTACGTACCGAAGTTCAATGGGCCTCTCGGCCTGACAATAACACCCTGTTGTCCGATTTAGTTGTAAGAAAGCACCATCTATACGTGTGTATCCATTTACCTCGGTCCTTCCCTGGAAAAGTATTGGTTCTTCTCCAGGACCACGACAAAAAGCAAATGTGCAAACGGCTTCTGCTCTTCGGTCCTCGAAAGAGTCAAGCATCCTGTTGAGACCATCGTGTCCCAGTGCGCTCAAAAAATGTTTGCTATATTGCATGGTCAGTTCCACTGTCCCAAAGCTACAAAGCGATTCAAGGTAGCTTTACATATACGCGCCTGGAAGTCCTTTCAGAGCTCGGAATCCAAGCGCTGTATCCTCCGTCAAGACAGGGCCGCCTATCTTCCATAAAGCGTCAAAATGAAAATTCAGCGATTCTCATATTAAATCACATTAAAGAAAGGTTCACTCCATACCGCTTCTGCTGCACACCTAGCCTTTTCCTTCGCGATTTCTTCAATGGATCCCTGTATCTCGGGTACCTCGATTGCTTGGCTGTCAATCTCAACTACATTTCCGAGTATCGCTCTCACTTCGGCCAATTTGTTATGGTTACTGGTGATGAAGTTTAACTTCGCCGCAGTAATCATGGTTCTGGTGCTGCAGGAGCAAAGTCAATGAGACAAAGATAGGCAATGGTTTGTGTTTTCACTTAGCTCGCAATAATAAGAAATTGATGACCATATTGTAAACCCTACCGTAGGTAGGTACCTAGGTATGGCCTTTAGTTACTAATGAGTTGGCGACTTCCTATTGGGCAGTGGCCGTCTCCATAAAAAAGGACGGGTCTGATTGGGTTCATTATCACTAACTAAAGTATTCAGGTACCTAAAGGTACCTGGTAGGTATTTGATCAACCTTGAAACTGGGACGTACACAGACTCGACGTGAGCAAATCAGTGTAACAATATAACTCGTGGTCTCAAAGACACAACAATAGAAACGGCTTTTGATGTATGGCCGTTAAGAGCTTATTGTCTTCAAGAATAACCCTGATTGAACAGCGGCAAATAGCAACGGAAACCGAAGTAGAATCCAAGTCACACCCTCACAGGGGCGTATGCATTTTTATCAATTTTGCATGTCAGACTCTTTGGTCATTGTTGTTACCCAGAATTGTCCCAAGTGTCCGAACTTTGTGCGTCAAAACATGCTAGTTCATATACAAGAATCAGAAAATAAGGTTTAAGACCGTAATGACTACCCAAGAGAGTGAAGCGAAGCCAAGACCATTCAGAAGTTATTTTAATGGTTGCGATTGCAAAATCTATGGTAGGACGGACTGCGCTGTAAGTTTTTGAGATGAGCTTGTGACGCATTGCCACGACGAATATTGACAATGGCACTGGTAGACAATATTAATCGCTTGGCATCGCAACAGTTTCAGAGATTTCAAGCCTCTCTTGCTGGGCCATTGCCTGTGCCGAGACGATTTCTGCGAGACGTTTCAAGCGCGGTGTTTGGAGCCCTGGATATTATTAGTATTCTGGGCGCCATTTTGTCGAAGCACTCACATGATGGTGTATATGTCTCTAAAGCTGTGATGACACGAGGCTCGGCGATTTCATACGGACCACTGTCTTCCATGTCAACGGGGGTAAGAAGGAGTACATCGCTCTTTTCTGTGACACGTGAGGCTACGGCTTTCATGATCTCGCCATTGATGGGCTGTTCATAGTCAGCGACAAGATATTGATTCAGAAGCTTCTGGATCTGGTTTGGTGACAGCCTAGAGAATAAACCAATTAGCCTTCATGTTGAAAGTGCTGCGAACGTCCGCCTTACATCCAGCAGATGTCTTGGATTATCTCGATGTCGTTGAGGGTAGCTTTCTTGAGCTGAAGGAGCTTCGTTGCTTGCTGGAAAACAAAAAGGTTTATCAGTGAAAATTATCACCTTGTCTTGAAATATCACCTTACCATCAAATGCTCAAGCTGCAATGTCCCTTCAGGCATATCATGACTTTTACACCACTCCTCAATCCGAGTTATGTTGTAATTGATTTGAAGACCACGCTTCCAAGACAAAAAATTCCTTCGCATCAGGAGATCGTTGAAAGCGGTGACACCGACAAGCCGAAGAAGCTCTGTTACGGTTTGATTAATGATAGAATCTTCCAAGTAGAAAGCTTTCATTGCCTTGTAGACATTGTTCAGAAGGCTGAGGAGATTATCCATGCTGTAGGCTGGATTGTTGTTTGAGGGAAGAAGCTTCCCGAGGAATCGATTGGTTTCACTGGTGACGAACCCAGGAAGGGACTGAGATTCGATGATCGCGGGGACAATCATCTTGTACAGTTTCTTCTTCAACACCTTCATCCACGTGTGATAGATATTGAATTCCAAGCTTTCTAAGTCATGCTTCACAATCTCCAGGAGGCGGTCGTATTCGTAATTATCCGTCTTCTGTGCCTCGTACCAGTCCTCTGCCAGGAAGACAAATGAAAGCATTTCGTGCACGTTGGAGAGCCAGAAAGCGCCAGGATTGATGGCATCATCTCCATCATGCTGCATGACCTCTTGCTGAATTGACTGCATCACGTTGGCTAAGAAACGCTCGGATTCTTTAACAAAACCATTGTTCCACATCTCTGACGTGACAAGATTGATGAGATATGCAGGAAATAGGACCTCCTTCTCGGTTGGCGGAGGTGTCGAGCTGGGCAGTGGAATTTTCAAGTTGCGAATCAATCCCATTGCGACTTCCTCGTTGAGCTCATCTTCCTCGGATAGTAGATTCTCGAGCTCTACCTCAACAGTGTCAAGTCCTGGTGAGAAAGTATGCCCTGAAAAATTCTGACGACCAAGAGTCGAACTTGGGATTGCCATAGACACAGGCCGGGGATTGTAAGCACCGCTGAAGCGATCAGTGTCGATTTTCTCGGCGCCGGCACTCCGTCGCTTAGGTTTAGACTTCTTTGAGGAGACCAAGTTAATCAACCCACCGGCAGGCGGCTGCATAGAGCCGCCGTTCTGCGCATCTCCGTTAAGCCCATTCAAAGGAACGCTGCGTTTAGCGAGCTCTAGCTGCTCTTCAAGCTCCGCAACTTGTTGGCGAAGAGAGGCCCGGTCATTTTCAGCTTCACTGTTCAGTTGTCTGAGCCGATCCAACTCCAGATTCGCAGAACGAATTGAGTCCCGCGAGACTTTCTCCTCTTCTTGCAGGCGCTTGATGATCGTTTGTGCCTCAGCGTAATTCTGCTGCAATTTGCTCATTTCATCCTCCATGGCGGCCAATCGAGCAGCGGTAATCCCAGCTTGATTAGCCTCAGCCTGAAGCTCCCTGGAGCGATTTTCTAAAGCATTGTGACGACTTCTCCATGATTTTAATTGTGTCTCGTAATTCTCCAATTGCGAGTTCAACGATTTGTTCTCGCGCTTCAGTGACTCGAGATACTGAGTCAGCTCCACCACCTTATTTTCGAGTTTGTAGGAGATTTGCTTCAGATCTCTCGCTTCCTCTCGAAGTTTTTTATATTGCGTCCTGGCCTGCTTCCCTCTCCACAAGTTTTGAACAATGATTACCTTACGACGATACTGCCGCCATGCACGTATTTGACGCCACGATCGAAATGCGCGCTGAATGATCTTTGCTGCGTTGCCATGTATGGTGTCCATGATATTGCGTCGACAGAGGAAACCCTTAGCCACTGATTGGAACAGAATGAAATTGCCGCGAACTTCGTTGTAGAATTTCAGTTCCTTTTGACCACGCCAAATTCTCTGGATAGTGGTGGCAGCTTTGATTTGACGGACTTCTGCCGCGCGCTGTCTTGCCAAGAAGCCTCTGATTAGAGCTTGCGTGGTGAGGATAGAAGAGCGGGCTTCGAGGTATCGACGCCTATAATATTTGCACCGCAGGTTCTTTTGTATCATGATTGCGCATTCGTTCAATCTGGATGTACGGAGATTCTCCAGAAACGCAAGCATACCTGCTCGGAAAAATATCTTGGTCAAGCCCAGTTGGTATTTATCTTGTTTCTGATGGCTCGCGTCCCCAAGCGCTTTCTGTAGAATCGCATGGCACATTTCCTTGATCTCCGAGGTCCATTGAGACGAATGACAAAGCATGTAATAACGGATGGCAAATTCCTCATACGTCCAACGAGTGGGGTACCCAGCAGTACTGATGCGGACGGTCTCGAGCACACCACAGGCTCTGAGTTGACTTAAGACCATTGGCCCTTCGAATTTCCAGGGCTCTTTCGCCTCGTTAGGCTTGATGCACCGTATGTAGTGCACATCGGTAGAATTGATGGTGTTCATGAGCTCAATCAGCGATGACTTGAAAATTCCTCCAAGTGTAGGCTTTCTGTTGACAGCGACTCCAATTCTGCGCCCTGGAGCTGCAACTGGTTTGGATGAAATCGAGGCCGAATCTTTCTCCCGAACAGCAGCAGCAGTGTCTAATATCTCTTTCACAAATTCATTTGAAGAATTGCGTAGGACATCCATATGCTCGTCTGGCACAGTATCCCTGTTCTTCTCTATGAAGCCATCAGACTCATAAGTCACGTCAACCGCATAGTGACAGATGGTGAAAGCCGATTTGCCAAACCGGGGCTTTTTGTAGAACCTCTGCTTGTCGGCCGCGAAGTTGTGATGTAGCTTGGTCACAAATTGCTCATCTGAGCCCATCGGCAACCGCGATTCTTCGTCCAAAAGAGACAAGATACCCAGCTTGGCCTCAATCAGATCAATGCACGGCTGATTGTCGGAGAATTCAATGAATTTCCAATCAATCTTTTCGCGCACATATTCCTCTTGCTCAAGCTTGAACACGTGCTGATTGAATTCCTGCTGCAATTTCTCATTGGCGTAATTGATGCAAAATTGTTCAAACGAATTCTTTGCGAAATGTTCAAAACCATAGATATCCAAGACGCCGATGAATGATTGGTAGCTGCTAAGGACCTCGTCACTAGCTAAGCGGCGATTTATCTTATCAACCAGCCAATCGAACAAACTGGAATAGATGAATTTTGCGACTGAATCTTTAACGACTGTTGCTTGTTGCTGTGTGAGATTGGAGGTGATCTTCTCGCCCCTGGTGATTAGCTGCTTCTTCACTATCCACTTGGCAAACTCATTCACATCGATACCAAGCATGTCGCAAGCCTGAACAAGAGAAGGCTCCGATGGGGACAAAGTAGAATCAGTTCGCGTGGCGGTGATCTTGACATTGCCAAGGTGTAACAGAGCAGCCAGAATGCGGAATATTTCAGCTTGCGTTCTCTCCGGCACCCCAATCGTGCCAAGGGACTTCCTCGTCGCATTGAATTCGGATTGATCGTCGACACCTTCTATGGTAGGAGTCCCACCTTGATTGAGATAATCGAAATCTTCAACCGAGGTGAGACCGAGATCTTCTTTTTCCTGGTCGGTTGCCCCAGCCACAAGCTGATAGAAGATGTGATAGTTGCGTTCTTTGAGGGGCTGGAACACCAACCGAGAACGCTCTAACAGGTATGTCCTAATCTTAGCCCCAATGATGTTGTTCCTATCGTCAAACATGATCTCGATATACTTCCCGAACCGTGATGAATTGTCATTTCTTGTGGTTTTAGCATTACCGAAAGCTTCCATGACCGGGTTTGTGGCCAGAATCTGCTCTTCGGTCTCACTGATTGCATCCGCCCGACTTGTTGTATACTTTCCGGGTTGGTCCGAAGATTCACGAGTCGCAAAATACCGCATGATGTATTTGGCGCTCACCGTCTTTCCGGCACCGGATTCGCCAGATACCACAATCGTTTGGTTTTTCCCATCTCGTAACATGTCACTGATCGACGCATGTAAGTAGAAGTTGAACAATGGCCATAGTGGTGGCTTACGCAAATGCCTCCTCCGCGATAGCGAACAAATGGGGTGCTTGTGAGGCACGGTGCTTTCCAGCGTACACCTGTACCATTTGTGGTACATAGAGCGAGTCAACCCGAGCGAAGGGATTCGTTGCAATAAGAACTATGCCGCTGTATGTATATATCTCTTTCTGCGCGTAACGGAGTTTTATAGCCTGCAGAACTTCGGAGCAATCAGCGACAAAGTTGACTAGGCTACAGACGACAAAGCGCACCAGCAGGTTCGTTCAAATGGGAAAGATTCGTGAGATCTTCGCTTGCTTCCAGCATCGCAGGATTCATTAAGGGAGGTAGATTCGGATTGTTGTCCATTTGCAACTCGGCTTGTGTAGTCTCGAGCGTTTTCCTCTTCTCCCGCGACAAAATTGTTAGCCACGTTGATATACAAATGTGACGCAAATTAAGGTACACAGTGCGCGAGTTACCTCTCCATTTTCCAACAGAAAGACCAGTTGCACTTTGTCTCCATCGACCACCTTCTCCTTGACCTCGGATGCAATCCATCCCTCCGTCGGGTCGGGCTGCCAGGCCCGCGTTCCAACCTCGTAGTTGTGTGCCATTGAAGTCGTAACACCTCTTAGATCGATGCCCTGGGAATGAAAGGTATGGTAGATAGGTGGTCTATGAGGCGGAGCATATACAAGATTCTGGTAGAGGCATCTAGTGAGAAGCGAGGCGTCTGGGAATAAGATCGCCAAATGCAAGAATTAAAGCTTGCAAACAGCTACCACTGTCTTGTGGCTTTGCTCAAAAAGAAGAGAGAAAGAAAGAAAGAAAGCGCACTCATCCAAAAAGAAAGCCGACTGAGGTGAGGTGGTGGAACAGCTGGCTGTTATTGTTGAGCCACAACCCCTGAGCCCTGAGGAGCTTGGAAAGCTGCGCCACTTGTCAGGAGTCAGGACCATATCCATTCCACATTATTAAAAACGCCAAGAACCTATAGATAGTCTATATTCAATATGTGGATTAAATCCATGTTTCCAAACTTACTTATCAGTCATCACACATCTGCCAAAACCTATAAGCAAAGCCAAGCCTTGTTATAATGAAGGGATGTCTACAGAGCAGAAGTTGGATAAACAAGAGTGGTGTTGAAGGTCTCCTTGGTTTAATTTCAAGCAACAAGTCAGTATTGACCCTTACTAATCGAAAAGATAGCGCTGAGCAGTAACTCATCAACCCTCTGTACTTCTTCCAGTCTGAATTTTGAATTTACCATTTGCTGTGAGCGTCTTCCTTCGCAACTGATAATTGCTTGATAATCATTAAACATGGTTGAATATCATACTCCTCACGCCGCAAATATTTTAAGACGATAAAAAGGGAAGAAAGGGAGGGGGAACAGCGTCGAAAAGTCGGATGTAAGAACAAAGGTAAAAAGAGAACATTAGGTAGATACGGAGAGTATAAAGTCCTTGCCGTATGAATAACGCACGTATCAAACACCTGGACCTTGGAGATGAATACGGTTAGATAGAAAGACTAGACGTAGATGCAACCTGGAAGCGAGAATCCCAGTCACAGCGGTGCGAAGAGAGAAGTGAATGCTATGACCCAAAGGAGGATAGGCTGCGACATGGCCCAAATAATCAATCCCCTAGATGACTTCGGCCATGCTCAGCTTTGTTTACACTCTGCTGCTTCCTTCTTTGGCTTGGAGGTGCCATCCTATTCGCAGGTCAGTGACCATTCCAAGAAGGTCATGGGAGGAAAGGATAAGTTAAGATTGAGGAGTCGCTGTCATCGTTGGGAAGGGCGGTGTAAAATCAAGGCAGAGGTAGATTTGGAGTGATAAAGAGAGAGAAAACCTACCTCTTCGTCGGATTCATCGTCAACATCGCGATCGGATCTTCGGTCATCATCGTCGTCCTCGTCTTCATCATCGTCTTCATCGTCTTCATCGTCAAACTCGTCCGCATCCATGTCGTCACCCAACTCCTCGAACTGAAGAGCCTCGCCGGTAAACCAATCAATGGCGCGGGGGATAAGCTTCTCTTTGATGTCCTCGCCAAGCTGATAGTCGAGCTCGAGGCGTTCTTCAATATCGGTAGCGATGGTGTCATCGTCGTCAGCCGGTGGTTGTGGAGGAGAGAAGAAATTGAAGAAGGATTCGGTAGGCACGGTGACCTTAACGACTCGGGTTTGTTTGGTGTCTAGAGCACGTTAGATTTCCCACTGAACAATTCCAGGTCAACGTACTCTTGTTGCGTTGCTTTTTGCTCTCCACGCGAACAGTGAGATCCTTGTCAGCCTTCCAATCGATCTTGCAACCCTCAGCATGATCATAGATGAAATCACCACCGTAGCCACTCTCTTCCTTGTAGTAGTAAGTTTTTGAGATAGTCTTGTTGGTGAAGAACTCGTTTTCCGCGAATTCGAATATGAGTCGGAAACCGGGGCGATCGAGATATTCCATGCGAACATCGGTAAGATGTTTGAGAGCCTCCTCATCCCGATCAGTGATCATTTCTGCAAGAGAAATCTGGTTCTTCATGGCGGAAAGCCAGAATTCAGGGATTCCAGAAGTTGTGATGTCTTTCTCATCATCCTGCTTGGGCTCGTCTTCGGCCTTGACATCTACCTCTTCTTCTTCTTCTTCTTCTTCTTCTTCATCCTCCTCCTTGCCCGCATCAACTTCGTCATCGGTCGGTTCTGCAGCCCCATTGACGATCGTGGCACGTCTCTGATAGAGGGGTGTAAATTTGGCGAAGTACTTCTTTTCAAGCTCCAGGACTTCCTCCTGAAACTGAGCCTCGAGCTTGGCATGCTCCTTCTGGATACCCTTCAAGCCAGCGACACGCCGACGGACCGGGGCGGGGAGAGACTCGATGTAGCCTGATGAGCGTCCAACAAGCGATCCAAGTTTACCTTGAATCATGGACACAAGCCCAGGATTCCTTGCAAAAAGAGAAGCCGCCGTAGCGTGATCAAGTGATTCTGGCACATATGTTAGGAAACAATGCTACCGCTTTACATTGAACGAAAAATTTACCTTCTTTGATGCTTGCAACCCCGGGTTGTTGAGCATGAGAAGAGATAGGTGCATTGTTAGCTGGTGTGTTTTGCGGCGTCCTGTCATTCGATCACAAGTTAGCAGTTGAGACAGGAGGCCCAAAAGATGGTCGACGAAGCATGATGTATGGAAATCAGAGATCAACGAAGAGAGCATAACTTACGGTGCGACCGGAAAGTCCGCCTTCTTGTTCCTAATAGGCTCAGACATTGCGAGCGGTTGTCAGAGTAGGGAAAACAGCGTTGATTGAGGGGTTGTTGCGGAAGAGATTTGGCAAGGGTTGAGGAAGAATTTGATACGCTTCGTTTTTGGGAGGTCTGGAATAAACTGGCTTGGTGGGATCGTTAGCGCCCTTGGGCCGAGGGGCTTGGCGGGACAAGGCTGCCAGTGTTGAGAACCTCCCATCTGTACTCCGTAGTCCGCTCCCAACAATAAATATACAAATCATTATGACTATTGCTTACCATGTTATTTATTCTTTGGCTGAGCACTCTGTCCGCCTGCTACGATAAACTCCCTTAATACTTAGGAATGGAAAGATATGTGTGGAAACAAGGTTTAGCACGGTTTGACTTCTGTAGTACCAAATGGGAAAGGTTGATACACACTCTATACATGCATGGTTCTTGTACTCTGTGGGTACCCTCTTGGTTACCGCATAATCCTGATTCATTTTAACCTCTCAATACTCATTCAATATCTGGACAATGCTCTTCTGCTTTCAGGCTTCTGGGATTGTGATATGCCTCATGATCTAGGTGGTAACTACCATCAGTAGTATGCTTGTTGTCTGCGCTGAGAACAGAGAAAGAGCTAGGTCTTCAGGAGGAACCACAGGAAATATTAATATCACTCACAGCACACTAGTAGTGTGGGAGAGACAGTAGTAATCAAAACCACAACTACTGTTTATTCGCGTTGTACTACCAAACACTAAGGTAGATAGAGCCTAGGTATTCTGACTGTTAGGTCATTCATGAAATATCTGCATGCTTCAACACTTGGTCTCCCCTATAAGATGGGCAATAACACCTATTGGTTAAACATACATGGTGTTAATCTTCCAAATACAAAACTGGAGTACTTGAATTGGAAGATATAGGTAACTAGCATTCATGACTTACCTAAGGTAGGATGGTTTGTCATTGTGTAGGAAGCCAATAGCCAATCAAATTAACGAAACCTGAATTACTCCGTATCAGACATGGGAATCATGGTGAAAATAGTCACGTGCTGATAAAGGAGAACAGAGGTACCTCTCAAGGTATTATCTTGAAAAAGCAGATTCCCATGTCATTCAGCTCATGAGAAGAGTACTCACTGAGTTGCATTTGTAACCAAACTAGTACTTCTTGGTGGACTGGGCATTCACTTCATCCATCTTCTTCAGGGATACTCAGCCTCTCCATCCGATGACGTTGGTTCAAGTTGGTGGTTGGAGAGCACAATTGATCTAGGGAAGCACTCGCCAGCGCAATGCGCCCAAGCACAGATGACTCCGCTCGGCCACTGGCCGAGGCCTCGTCAATTGAAGGTGCTCCTGGAGCTAGTCATCGACGTGACTCTATGAGAAGCAGGTATGTTGACGAGACTCCAACGTGTCTCTGCTGCGTGCCACTGACGCATAGTCAGCTATAGTGTTGTGTCAGATGTCGAGATGGCTCGCACCGAGGTACATTAATTATACATAGCTCTATTTCGTTCTGGAGTATGGATTAACCGTGGCTTGACAGGTCTTTGACGGGCCGATATCAGAGAGTATCCCTTCAAGTGTCGTCTCATTTGCCCATCGGCGCGGCCGGAAGGACTCGACCGTCAGCTTCACTTATTTTCAAGAAGAAGATGGTTTCATTGAGTGGCCTCGCGAAGAAGTAATCGATGCTGAAAGTGAAACTGATGAATTGTCTATGGGTGAGGTTAGCGAGGCAGATGAGTCCATCATATCTTCTCGCAGGTCAAAACGCCTGTCTTACTCCAGAATCTCAGCGGAGGACCCTCTCCTTCCGCGGCGCCCATCATCGAGTTTCTGCACTGGAGAGCGCACAATTGACAGCAGGCTCACCCAGAAAATTTATATCGTATCGGAGGACTTGACCATTGTCATCGCTGGATTTTCAACGAGCTTCACGGGCTTGGCGCTATATTCTTTGCTATGCATTTTTACTTTGGGGTTTGCATATATTCTTCTACGTTGGTTGCCAAGATGGAGAGTCCGACTTATAGGAAAGCCGACGCCCCTTCGATTATGTCAATGGGTCGCAGTGGAGGTGGGCTTCCCCCGTTTATCACAGTATAAGGACTTCGCTGAATATGTGCAGGATCAATGGAATCAATTCAGCATATGCGAAGTGTTGAGCATACCTTACGGACGTGTGCTCTCCACTGTCTTTGCAGACTCTGCAAGTTGTGCCCAGGACGAAGATAACGATTCGACTGTCCCATACCTGAGATATATTGATTATCGCTGTCTCCGCTTCTTCTACCACCCTGTCGAGGACAAATTCAGCTTGACCAGTGGCTGGAAAGATCCATTGTGGACGAATATCAAACTAATGCGAATTGGATTGGACGCAGATGATCACGATAGCCGAGCGCAGATTTTCGGAGCGAATGTCATTGATATTCAGCAGAAGTCCGTCTTTCAACTTTTGATCGATGAAGTAAGAGCCATGCTTTTGATTATGTGTCGTCAAGTCCAGAGACTCACAGAAGAAGGCATTTCACCCGTTCTACATCTTCCAAATTGCGAGTCTTGTCCTATGGTCGCTGGATGAATACTATTACTACGCCGTTTGTATTTTCCTCATTTCGGTATTCAGTATCTGCGCAACCATTCTTGAAACACAAACGGTATGTGGTGGTCGTTGTCAAATCCGGATTGTCCAAAATAACTAAGCTCGACGCAGACGATGAAAAGGTTGAGGGAAATCTCACTTTTCGAGTGCGATACCCGCGTGCTTAGGAATGGTTTCTGTAAGTTATAATGTCTCTGCATCAAGGGTTGGAAGGCAAAAGTTGATATTTGGGCTACCAGGGAGGTCTGTCCCTTCTCGAGAATTGGTCCCGGGTGATGTCTTTGAATTCTCGGATCCTTCCTTGAATCAAGTTCCCTGCGACTGCATCTTACTATCTGGAGATTGTATCGTGAATGAGAGTATGCTGACAGGTCTGTGAAACAATCATCTCTGTGATTCGGTTGCGTGACTCGAGACTGACTTTAGATAAGGAGAGTCTGTTCCTGTATCAAAAATCCCGTTGACCGACGATGCGTTGAAGTACCTTAACCTGAGTACTCCATCTATCCATCCGAATGTCGCCAAGCACTTTCTTTTCAGTGGAACAAAGGTCATTCGTGCACGACGGCCACATAGCGTCGATGATGATGAAGCCATCGCGTTAGCAGTGGTTGTGAGAACAGGTTTTTCGACAACCAAAGGTGCCTTGGTCCGTTCAATGCTTTTTCCCAAACCTTCAGGGTTCAAGTTCTACAAAGATTCATTTCGTTACATCACAGTGATGGGTGTGATTGCTGCTTTTGGTTTTATAGCGTCATTTATCAATTTTGTCCGCTTAGGTGTAAGTCTGGCACAAGAAATGATACAAGTGTTAAGCTTACAGTGCGCAGCTTTCCTGGCATTTGATCATTGTTAGGGCACTTGATCTAATCACTATCGTTGTGCCGCCAGCCTTACCAGCTACTCTGACAATTGGCACTAATCTAGCTCTTTCACGACTCAAAGGTCACAAGATATTTTGTATCAGTCCACAAAGGTTTGAAAATATTCTCTATATGTTGTGATATTTTTCACTGAGAAAGCTGTAGGGTCAACGTTGCAGGCAAGCTTGATATAGTCTGTTTTGATAAGACTGGGACTCTTACAGAGGACGGTCTGGATGTGCTCGGTGTGCGAACTGTGAATCAGGATTTGAGGTCTGTACCACTCAATATATCTTATGGAGGTGTGCTCACTAGCACAACACAGATTCTCGGATCTAAAAGCTGATTTGGCTTCTATGGCCTCCACCTCTTCATCTTCTGTCGGAGCCACTGTCGGTCCTCTGCAACACAAAAATATTGTTCACGCTATGGCAACATGCCACTCTCTCAGAGTAGTGGATGGCGAGCTAATGGGAGATCCTCTCGATGTGAAGATGTTCCAATTCACTGGCTGGTCCTATCAGGAGAACGGAAGCCAATCTATGGAACCCCATGGTTCTAAATACGAAACAATTATGCCACCTATTGCGAGGCCGCCTAATCAGATAGCCGATTCCAGTGATCAAATTGGGGGCAGTCAACCTGTAAGCATGCTTTCTCGTGAGAAAATCTATCAGGACGCGCAGCAGATCACTGATTCAAACAACGACACGCTTTTTAGATACCAATAGAACTCGGAGTACTTAGGAATTTTGAGTTTGTCTCGGAGCTGCGCCGTGCGAGTGTCGTCGTAAGACAGTTTGGAGATGGCGGAGCAAGCTTTTTCGTCAAAGGCGCACCGGAAAGTCTCAAGTCCATTTGCCTCCCTGAAAGCTGTGAGTCAACCACCATATGAAATGTTTCATATCAAGACGATTGAACTGATATTGTTGGGCAGTGCCACACGATTTTGATGAATTGTTGAGCTACTACACACACAAAGGTTACCGTGTCATTGCGTGCGCTGCGAGATACGAACCAAAACTCAGCTGGATGAAAGCCCAAAAGTTGACGCGAGAACTCGTTGAACGCGACCTCGAATTCATCGGATTCATTATATTCGAAAATAAATTAAAGTCCAGCACTACTGGGACAATAGCAGAGCTCAGTAATGCAGGCATACGAAATGTCATGTGCACGGGGGATAATATACTTACGGCGGTCAGCGTGGCCCGAGAGTGTGGCTTGATTCGAGCGGATGAACAGTGTTTCATCCCAAGATTTGCGGAAAGTGAGTCTATCGCAGTCAGTTTTGTAGCAAATTGTTGACCAGAGCAGGTCATCACCACGATATTGGAGCTTCTCTGATTTGGGAATGTGTTGATAATCCGGCGCTGAAGCTTGACCCGAGCACCCTATTGGTATTGACTTTGCCTGCCCTTGAATCGATCGTACGGCTGATGGAATTTAGCCATCGTTGACTCCGACAAATGTGGATCTTTCCGTGCCCGCGATTGCGTGCAACGTTAATAAGTATTCACTTGCAATCAGTGGAGATGTCTTTAGATGGGTTGTGGATTTCGGCAGCGACGTTGTTTTGAAAAGAGTGAGTGTTCAAGCGAGAAGCTTAGTCTTCTCTGGGTCTTTTTGTCCTTTTTCCTCTAACACTCCCACAGATGCTTGTTCGAGGAAACGTGTTCGCCAGAATGTCGCCTGATGAGAAGCATGAACTTGTCGAACGACTACAGTCCTTGAATTATTGTTGTGGGTTCTGCGGGGATGGTGCTAATGACTGTGGTGCATTGAAAGCTGCAGATGTCGGTATATCCCTATCTGATGCCGAAGCATCCGTCGCCGCGCCTTTTACCAGTCGTCAATTTGATATATCTTGTGTTCCACAACTCATTAAGTCAGTGACTACCTATTTCTCATTTGAAGTACATATTTTGCTAAGCCAACAACAGGGAAGGCCGGGCTGCTTTGGTAACCAGCTTCTGTTGCTTCAAGTACATGAGTTTGTACTCCGCAATTCAGTTCTCGAGTGTCAGCTTTCTATACACGTCAGCATCGAATCTTGGCGACTTTCAAGTGAGTATTGTAATTACTTCTCTGGGTATCTCGTTAACAGTTCCAGTTTCTGTTCATTGACCTGGCACTCATTTTGCCGATTGCAATATTTAGTAAGCATTCTAATCCGTCTTCGATACTATGTCAATTCCAATGCTAACGGTCCGAAGTGGGCTGGACTGGCCCATATCCTGTGCTTTCCCGCAAGCGACCAACTGCAAATCTTGTGTCACGGAAAGTGTTAACTCCCCTGCTTGGTCAGATATCCATATGCATCCTTGCTCAATTTGTGGCCTTCAAGACTGTCCAGTCGCAACCATGGTACGTTAGCATGCATCTAGATACCATCCAACGGGAGCCTCATTTTAACCATTCACAGGTTTCAGCCTCCGAAAATAGACTTGGACAATAGCAATATAAAGAACTCCGAAAATACAGCTCTATTCTTGATCTCCACCTTCCAATATATATTTATGAGCATCGTTCTGAGCGTGGGACCACCATTTCGGATGCCAATGAGGGCGAATAGTGAGTGTGAGATCCTTAGTGTTGGGATTAAAACCGACTAAATCAATAGAACCCTTGATCGTTACAATCGTCGTTGACTCAATTGTGTCAAGCTACATGCTTTTTGATCCACCGGAGTGGATTATCGAATCTATGCAGCTGACATTTGTATCCAGAGGGTTCGCGTTTTGGCTTTTTGCACTCGCTATCAGCACATTTCTACTTTCGTTGATCACCGAACGCAAGTTCTTCCCCATACTTTCCCGGAAAATTGGTCGCTTGAACACAATGCTACGTCCAGGAAACCGTAAGCAGCGTCGTCAATATAAAGTGCTGCTTGATGAAATGCAAATATGAGCCTTGGTGGATAACATACATAGCACTGGATATCAACGGCAATGCTATAAAGTGATTTGACCGCACTGTGTGTGAATGTCTTCAACGTCGCTGCTCATTTCCCGCAGGGACTGCGAAAAATGGTGATCTTTAGAAATTGCCCTGTACATAGCGAATTGAGATGGACATAGAGCGTTGATTCACATATTGAATGGTCATTAATGGTCCCAAGGATGCTTCCAACCCAATAAAGCAGGGCCATCCTTCTTCGCACGATACATGAGCTGAAACATGGTGGAATCATCACATTAGTATACTCCAGACGTAAGAATAAGGGTGGAAAGCTCATACAAAGAACCACATGCTGGCACCTAAGGCAGTTGCTGTAAAGCGATAAAGCGGCCGTGCCGGATGAATGTGGATAGGATGGTGCGCAGCCATCTTGGTGCTAACAATCTCAATTAGAATAATAGATGAAATTTTAGGGCTGAGATATACTTGCTAAAACCAGACACGTCCAACAGTTTCTTTCAAGACTTGTGAAGGCAATAGAGTCCAAGTGCAGACCATAAGGACTGTTTCAGAAACAGTCAGCCAAAGCCAAGTCCGGATCACCGGTCACGGGAGCTCCACGTGACCTTAACCACAGGCGGACACCAATCTATTTACCATGATCTTATGAACCTTTAAAAAGCATTGGTTTCTTTCCTAAGCAATAATATGATACATGCATATTATTATGTGGGGCTAGTGGTAACTCCTTAAGTCATACATTCTGAAAGATTAATATGCACCAAAACATTGAAATTGAAGATCGACTGTCTTGGGTTGAGACGTACCTTAGTTTTCTCAGTTGCACCTCCTCATCTCTTCAATCAACTAAAATTATAGTATGATGCTTTTCTACATCATATGACTGGCTCCTCGGTGCCTAGGTTCCCAAGGTACTTTCTCATTCCCTTCAAACAAGTATCCTAAGGGCTTACAGTGTTAGTGGGTCATCATTTTGATCACGGACATTCAGCCTTGTGTAATCTCTATCGCACAGGTATTTCTTTCCTTGAAAAGCCAGATTCAAATGAAAATGGCTATCGCGTCTCTGGAACGGGATAGCTATGGCAATCCCAGATTCCGGGGTTGTACCAGCATCCGTGATTTTGAGTTCTTAGGCAAGCTTGGAGAAGGTACCTTTGGGTCAGTATCGCAATGCATGGTTTTCAATACTCTCGTCAAAATACTGATTGCTAAAAGGGAGGTTTACAAGGCACGTTCGAAGAAAGATGGATCTATAGTTGCACTCAAGAAGATCCTCATGCACAATGAGAAGGATGGTGTCAGGTCATTCGATCATGGACAACATTACCAGAGGCTGATAGAATCTATACCAGTTTCCTATCACAGCCCTTCGTGAAATTAAACTACTGAAGATGTTATCGCATCGCAACATTCTACAGCTAAAGGAGATGGCTGTGGAACGAAGCAAAGGTTTTCCCGTCGATTTCCCCCAAGAAATCTAGAGAAAGCTAACTTAGTACAGGCGATGGCCGCAAAAAACCGAGCATGTACATGGTAACTCCCTATATGGAGCATGATCTATCGGGACTTTTGGAGAACCCAGCAGTGAATTTCACTGAACCCCAGATAAAATGCTATATGCTTCAGCTTCTTGAAGGACTTAAATACCTACACGGAGTATTCCTTCTCCTTTACCGTAGGACCGGAAACTATTCTAATTTATGAGTTATAGAACCGCATCCTACATCGCGATATGAAAGGTTAGTCAAACTCCATTCAAGACGCAGAGAAAGGCAATTCCTGTGCTGACCCCGTATAGCTGCCAACTTGTTGATAAGCAACAACGGCATACTTCAGATTGCAGACTTCGGGTTAGCTCGGCCATATGATGAGCCTCCACCTCAGCCTGGAAAGGGTGGAGGGGAAGCTAAAAGAGAGTATACCACGTTAGTCGTTACACGGTGGTACCGGCCTCCGGAACTTCTCCTTCAACTTCGACGTTATACAACAGCTATCGATATGTGGGGTGTTGGGTAAATCTTCTGTTCTCTTGCTTCCGCGATTTTTTTAACTAAATATTATAGGTGCGTTTTCGGCGAAATGTTCAAGGGGAAACCGATTCTTGCTGGAAGCAGTGATCTCAACCAAGCCCAGCTGATATTCAACCTTGTTGGCACACCAACCGAAGAAAACATGCCCGGTTGGAGTTCTCTACCTGGCTGCGAAGGTGTGAAAAGTTTTGGGTATAAACCAGGCAGTCTACGTGAGGTATTCAGAGAGTAAGGCCTTGCATTTCTATGAACCCAGAATCCAAGCAGGACATGTCCTGAGCGTTAAATGAAAAGCCATCTGATTCGGCTCACAGTCAAAGTCCTACGGCGATATCCCTGCTTGGCGAGCTTCTCAAGCTTGACTGGCGGAAAAGGATCAATGCTATTGATGCAATAAACCATCCCTACTTTTCCAGCCCGCCATTCCCTGCCCGACCTGGGGAGCTCCCTAGTTTTGAGGACTCACATGAATTTGATAGGAGACGTTTCCGTGGGCAACGAGGCGCCATTCCCCCGGCACCCGCAGGGGGCTCTGTGGGTATGGGTCCAACCAGTGGCTGGGCGACTAATTCCGGGCCCAGACCAGCAACAGACAACAGAAATAGCCGTATTCCCGGTGCTGCTCGCGTTGGCCGGCTCCACGCACACGGGAATCAAAACCATCCTACCAAACTCCCTTCTGAAAGCCGGAATGTTGTATCGCATGGGTCTTTAAACGCGGGAGAGTCGCTTCCAGGCTCCTCGTTGGGTTCAAAAGATGGCGGCTTGCCTCCTAAGCCTCCTGCGTCTGCTCGTCAAGCATGGACCATGGGCCATTCAAATAGGACGACACGCGAGAGAGGTCAACGCAACCATTTTGGAGGATGGCCTGATGGGAAACTGGATTCGTACGTCCCCACCTACAGTGACACCAGTGAACATTCTCGAGAAAGGAAAGGCAATAGCCCGAGTTCCATCGTTGATCGGCGTGATCTGGAACTCGAACCATCTGATGAGGGGCACAAACGGGGTCCTTCTTGGGACCGATATGCTTCAAGAAGACGAAGCCGGAGTCCTGACTTTCGAGCGGCTCGAACGGAAGATCGAGCATTGTATCGACGATGATGAGCTAGTCCTGTGAGAAATCGATGCAGAACGGTTTCCCCAATTGAACCCAATGATGTTTTGGGTGACCGGATGATTCAACCGTTTATTATACTTCTCCCCCTGTCTAGACTTGGTAGAAACCAAGCAGCTGCGGTTTCAATCGGCTCGTCTCTCCTTCGATCTTAAGTTGTGCCTTACCAGTACCGGCAACGAGTGCATTTGTCGCCTCAGGGAAGCTATGGTTTGTAGCTGCTTCGCATGATATCTGAGGAGAGCCAGAACGTACGAAGTACAACAGCAGGTGAGTAATGCATTGAGTTTGTATTGACGAATCCTGACCAAGTTTAAAGCGTTCAAATCTGAAATCAGATTCCATCTATTCGCCCACAAGCGTAAGTGCGAACTTGGGGTGGAATCCATGAAAGCACCTAGTTCTCGGTTAGGAAGGCCAACTGTAGACGAAATGCCAACAATAATGGAAGTCAAAATAGACTAGATTCGTTGATTTTAGTCTAGTGATGTTCAATTTCTATTCTCTTTTTCTTTTTCTATTTGCTGTTTTGCCCCCCTTGAGCACAAAGACTGGCACTATTCAACCTTTAAAATGTATTCTTCTCGATACACTTGGTCCGGATTTGAGTCCTGCATGATTCCAAGAGACGGGTGAATACTTTCTGGGCTATGCAAGAGCCTAGTACAATATTCTGGTCATGATTCGAGCTAGATTAAACGCCGATGTCAGCAACACATCTTAAATTCTCAAACGATTCCACATACAGGACAAGCTCTCTAGTCTTTCATACAATTCCTTGATTGTGGCATTGTCAACGTTACTAATATCAGCCATAAGATAGGCCACCTGGACAAATTTAGCATTGCAAGATTTGAACTGCGGATCGAGGTATCGTGACATACATCGCCTCTGCTATCAGTCATTTGTTTATCAACATTATGGTCCCCGAGAATCTCGTTCACTATATCAAATGTTAGAGCGATAGACACCTTAGAAGATAGTTGATCGAGCCAAACCTTTTCGCAGAACTCCAGGGACGTTGTGATGAATGTAGATGACCTAAACGAACATTCAGCGGCTGGCAAACTGTAGTACTGAGACTGCTTCAACTTACCCGGGCATGGTTGGGTTCGTCCATTGTAAGCGAACGAAGGGTAACTTCAGGGAGGTTGACGGCACCGAGAGTTGTTCCTTCGTTGACGTATCGTACTAAAGCCTGTCCTACCTCAACACCTATGGCACTCTGCGCTTCTTCAGTGCTACCTCCAATGTGTGGAGTCAATATCACATTCTTGAGACCACGGAGATCCGAGGCCCAAGTGTTGAGATCACCATTGAAATAGTCACCATTGCCGGCAGGCTCGTTCGGGTAGACATCGAGAGCAGCCCCCGCAATCTTACCAGAACGCATTGCATGAATGAGGGCGGGAATATCCACAACACTTCCTCGGGAAGCGTTAATCAAATAAGCCCCAAGCTTCATTTGCTCGAATTGTTGTGAACCTATCATATTCTTCGTTTCTGGTAGTTCAGGAACATGGCACGTAACAAAGTCAGACTTGGCCAAAAGGGCTTCCAGCGTCGGCACTTGCTGGGCAGTACCCAGTGCCATCAAATTCAAGACGTCATAGAAGATGACCGACATGCCCATTGCCTCAGCCAGTACAGACAATTGGGCACCGATATGACCATAGCCGATGATTCCTACCAAGAGAATAAGTCTTGACTTCATTCACACTTCAAACAGGACAGGCGTACCCAAAGTCTTCCCACGGATTTCCCAGCATTTTTTGCTTACTTTATTCCAAGTACCGCCATGCATCTCCATGGAGCGATCACCTAGCTGACGAGCAAGGGCAATAATCTCAGCTATGACCAATTCAGCCACACTTCGAGAGTTGCTGAAGGGAGAATTGAAGACTGCAATGCCATGCTCAGCCGCGTATTGAAGGTCAACCTGGTTAGTCCCAATACAGAAACATCCAATGACGATTAGATTGCGAGCTTCCTTGAGGACGCGGGATGTGAGCTTTGTTTTCGAGCGGATACCAATCACATGCACATCACTATTCCCAAGAGTATAGACAGTCAGCTAAAAACAAGTCACAAAAAGTTCAGCCAAACGGACCGTATCTTCTCTATTAATTGATCCTCCGGGAGTGAGGATTTGAGGAACTCGACTTGATAGCCTTGTCCGGTGAGAATATCGCGACCAGTTTGATTAACGTTCTCCAAGAGTAAAACCTTAATGTCCTCTGTAGCGAAAGGTTTTAAATGCTTTGCATTGGGTAAAGGAATCGTGCGGCCTGCAAATGCGGATCCTCCGTGACTCGATGATGCAGACTGAAAGGACGCCGTAGGGGAGGTGGAAAAGTTCGCATTCTGAGAGACATTGAGACCAGGTATGTCTCGGCGTATATTTATGTCTCGAGCAGATGTCGTCATTTTGACAATAACCGAACGAAAGCAATGAAAGACCAAGCGATATATTGAAGATAGATGTATTAAACAATTGAAGCTAGAGAGTGAAGATTTCTCAATGAATTCAATGTTTGAAAAATATTAGGAATGACACAAGAAGTGATCGCCGGAATCGGACACCTTTTTAAATCCCGACACATCACCGATTTGAGTCATCGAGCTCGGCGGGGCTCTCGCGTTTACCCCTCCTATCCGGATACCGAGAGTCGGAAAAATATGGGAGTTCCACTTTGGCTTACCTAATCTAACAATAACAACACTTTCTCAGTGATAACATAGAAGAATATGGATTGTATACCCAATAGCATCGCCAAGTCATTTAGAGACTATATATTGAGTTGTAATGTATTTACAAGAATTACCAGATGACATAGTGATGCTTGGACTTACAATGGGGAATGTTCTTTCATTTTTCCGATGGATGACTGCCTGAGCTCTGGGAGCAACCACACATCAGCAGAGTTGCTCTCCACAGGACGAAGAGACCACTAAATCACAATCATTCAGACCTGAAGGTCCTGTAGCTTCTTGGTAGCTTCCCCGGTGCTAGCTGCAGGTCTAGCGTCCTGTCTGCTTTTGGATTTGTGTGATGTGGTGTCTTTAGGAAGATCCTTGGTGTACGGTAAGAATTCAGGAGCGCCAGGGATATATTTTCTCAAAGGCTCAGGCACATTGAATCCCTACTTCTTCGTTAGCGAAACCAATGCTACATCAGATAGTTCGTTTTTGACACATACATCATCGGTTTGATAGTTCTCGAGGATGCAACAAAGCGTACGCTCTGTAGCACATAGCGTAGCATTGAGCGCGTGGACATAAGATTTCTTGACGTCAGTGGCCTTCTTTGTGCCGTAGCGTATTTCCAGAGCTCGCGCCTGGTAATCGGTGCAGTTGGAACAAGAGACTAATTCCTTGTATTCACCCTGGAACGGGAACCAAGCCTCGAGATCATATTTCTTGGACGCGGCATTGTTCAAGGCGCCTGAAACGATAGCGACGACCTGAAAAGGAAGACCAAGCGACTGATAAAACTCTTCTGAGGTAGCCATCATCTCTTCAAAAACTTGCCATGAGTTTTCAGGCTTGGTAAGAACGAATTGTTCAACCTAAGGATGTGTGAGCACGCAAGCAGACGAACGATGACAGGCTTATCAGAAGTTACCTTCTCAAATTGATGGACGCGGAAAATACCCCAGGCATCTTTTCCATGAGCACCGGCCTCCTTTCGGTAGCATGTACTGTACCCGGCATACCTTTGTCATACTTAGCAATGAAGACAGTGTCAAACGCTGAGTTGCTCACTTGATTGGAAGATCTTTGTCCTGGATCCATTCCCCGTCGTGCAGGGCAGACAGCGGTTGTTCAGAGGTGGCAATGAGATACTTGTCAGTAGACTTGTCGTCGCTCTCAGTCACCTTGTACAGCTCTTCATCAAACTGTTCGAGTTGCGCCGTCTTCGCCATCAACTCTTTGAGCATGAATTGAGGAGGCTGATTCGGTTTGTACCCTTTCCGCCAAAGAAATTCAAGACCATAGTTGATAAGAGCCAGATTTAGGAACAGACCGTAGCCTGTCAAACAATATCCACGGTGGCCAACAATTTTCACACCACGCTCCGAATCGTACCCATCAAGGCGGGTAAGGACTTCATGATGAGAAAGACAATTGCGCTTCTCTACCACCACGTTTTCCGGAGCCCACGTCCTGACCACCACATTGTCATCCTTTAAGTATATGAGTTTCCGATATTAGCATCAAAATGGTGAAAGAGCAACGTACCTCATTATTGCTCACAGGCACTGACTCATGAACATAGTTCCCAATTGTCCGAATCTTACGATCTCTCCTACTTTCCAGTTCAGATGCATGTTCTTCGGCCTCCTTTTTCCGTTTCTCCAGGGCGGCCTTCTGTTCCATCAAGTCACCCGCATCTTCTTTATTCTACCCCGCCTTAAGCGTTAGAACCGTGCAATTGACAGAAGTGAATTGAGCAAAAGTATGGGGCAGGTGTGAGGGGATAGGATAGAGACAGTGAGTGAGGATGCCTCAAACTACTGCATAGCAACAGACCTTCTTTCGCTTTCCGATTTCTTTTTGGAGCGCATTGAGCTCTGATCCTATTTGCATGACTTCATAACGCGCTGCTATGCGTCAGGATAAATTCGTTCCCCTACTGGGCAGCACACTTTAGGGGAATATGTATACCTCGACGAGCCTCCTCATAGAGAGTAATCACTTCATCGACCACATTTTCTGGTGCGAAGCGCTTCCGCTGGCTCTCTTTGATCTTATTCGGATTTCCACCGCGATCGGAGACAAAATCGGCAAGATCAAGCATTTCGAACCTATGATAAGAGGGATAGGAGCGTGAGCAGAAATAATTCACCAGAAGAATCTAATATATGAAGATATTCAAGAGACAGATGAAGGACAAATGTGGGAAAGCTTTAAAACAGTCCGCACCCGGTGTCATGTAATTAGGTTTGGAGGGGTTGAGAATAATTGAGGTGAACGTTTCGCTTGAGGTATTATTGAGTAGTCATCCGTGCATAAGGAGGGGAAGTGAATACTGAATAAGGTAAGGTACCCAGGGATAATTATGTAATTACGAACTTGAGTGTACAATGTACCTACCTAATTTATCAGATTGCTACCTAAGTCCCAGGAGTTCTAAAGGTACCTTACTACTATTAGATACTTCTAGGTAGTCAACTTTTTTTAAGGTAGATTCCTATGGGCCGCAAGGCACCAGCCATGGGCCTTCGGTTGTGGTATTGAAACACTTCCTGGCTGCCACCCGCTGTCCCCCAACTGGGAATTTGTTCAAGGCTGAACGGAATTAGATACGGAGTAGAAGCCTAGGCTTTCAGATACTGGGGTATACAAAGCCCCTAGGTATATATGAGAGCCCGAGCTTTATGTTACGAATCGCTAGCGGCATAAACCGCCCATTGGATTACAATCTGTATACTCCGTACTGTAGAAAGAAAGGGCCACCTTATCCCCTAGATCAGAATGGACTTCCAGTCTGAGCTCATTCGGAACATGTTCCATGGTCCACGCAAGGTCGTAGCCCTCATCCAGCAGTTAGAACGCTTCCTCAAATGTCATCATACTTCTTTCTCTCCAGCAGTGTCCGACCCTCAGTCTTCCCCACCCTCCTTGTACAGGAGTGCGATTATATAACAGACAAGCCATAGACTGGGCAGGAAGTCAGGACTGAGATTGGATCACAACCTCAAGATTTCATCACATTTCCACACTCGTTGAGGCGCTGACCCGTTTGAAGAATGGATGGGAATACATGAATCCTCAAGTAGCACTACATTAGGATGCACTTGCTGCCGCCTGCTGGTTGGGACGGGTTTTGGGACTTCTCAATCTCGCCGATCATCAAATCAAAGGCTTTTGTGACGTTGTAGTCGAGGCGAGCACTAGCCTCGGTGAAGGCACAGTGAAACTCTTCGCCCAATTGCCGACCCTCATCTAGTGAAACCTGACGCTGTTCGGATTTGAGATCACTCTTGTTTCCAACAACCACAAGAGGAACATGTTCCGCTCCCTGGTCTTCGATTAGCACAGGAAAATCAAGCCATGCTGGCAAGCTGCTGAATGCTTACAAGATGATTCAAAATTTTGTCGCGTATAACCCTAACCATTTCAAACGACTGGCGGGACGCTACAGAGTAGACAATGATATACCCGTGTATTCCGATAAAGTGCTTAGAATTAAGTATGCTGTACTCATCCTGAGAAGGGGTTGTTAGCCTAATTGAAGTTGCTCGTGCCTGTATGCTCACTTGACCAGCTGTATCAACGATCTCTGTGGCGAAATCCTGACCGTTGTACTTGATGATGCGACTAAACGTATTCTCAATGGTAGGATAGTAGCTCTCAACAAAATGATGTTCAACAAATCGGACCGTAAGAGATGATTTGCCTGCGCGATAGATTAGTCGGGAAAATAAAATCAAAGTGAAAGATCTTTCAGCAGGACGACAGGCGAGTAGGTTGTATGCTCGTGTACGGAATCGTACCCACAGACCGACTACCAACAATGGCAATCTTCCTCTGTTTCGGCGCAGCAGGCATATTTCCCTGCCTTTTGTGGCTGTCTTGACCTCCCCTCCGTCGCTTTAATTGAAATCACCAGGAAATAAGAGCGAGAAAAGATGCCCAGCTTTGCGAAGTTCGGTCTAACAATCACGCCGACGAGCCAGACTGGGGGATATAGGCACTGTGCCCCGAGAACATGAACTGTCTGAAAGAAAATATAGTGATTACATTAATCGGGACACAGAGAAGTTTGCTGTTTTCTCGGCGTCTACCTAGTTATATAAGGTGTATGCTCCCAGTGGCAAATCACCTTTAAAGCATCCTCAACTACGTACATGCATACCAAGGTCGCTCAGCACCCGCGGAACATACAAACATATCAAACGACATCCGATCACCGTTCACCGATCACCGATCGAACCTACATCACCTTGGAGCCCCATTTGCACAGCATCTCTCCCCTATATTATTACATGATCATCTGCGCGACGGAGGATGATGTCTACATTCAGCATAATATTCGCGCTCTAACAAGTATATTATGGATGAGAATCTCTCGAAGACATTAAAGGAAGTTTGGCTAATTCCATGCCATTGTGCCTATCCGCAATTTACAAGATGGTGCCTTCACGCAGCTGAATCTGCTGTATGATATGTTCTAATCTCGCCACAAGCCCGGAGTTTTGGCTTTTTCGTGACTCGGATGGATTCAAATCCGACTCAATTTTCTGATAGTATTGCAAAAACTCACCTGCGGTTGATAAAACTACGGTGAGTCCCTTGTTGTCGAGTGACCTCCTCACCTGGGAGATCGCCTCGTCGCTGAAACAAAGCGTGAGCAGGAGGATAGATAGATATCCGACGGTAACGTTGCGATGAAGTGTAGGAGCTGTATGTGCCTATGAATATTGTTATCAGAAGAACAAATTTGAAAGTGGCATGCTGTTTGTTTATTTTTCCTACCTCACAGACCGAATTCACACTTTCGTAAAATCGTTGCAAAAGTGAGTGGATTAAAGATGTCGAATCAAGAGTCAGGTGGAGGAAAAGACCCCTCGCTGACTCGCTTTTCTCTGTCATATTGATAAGAACCCCCAAGACTAAGATTATTGTGTTCAAGGAGTTGTCCTCCCCTGTGGAAATATCGTCGGATGCGTCGCGAATCTCTGACATGACAATTTTGACTAATCCCTTCACCAGCTCGGGTGTTGCATATTCGTTGCAAAGATTCGGGTCGTTGTTGGTGAGGTTCAATATTGCTCGAATATAGTGCATGCGAAGTTGCCTACCCTGATTGCGCTGGTTCAGATTGAGATATTCATGAAGCCGAGAAAGTGAACTCAGAGACGGGTAGTTTTGATTGTGGTCTGCTGGGTTCAATACGATCGCGTAAGACTCCAATATCGAGAATGTCGAAGCCAGTGTCCTGAACCTTTCCCGCGATAGAGGAAATTTGATAGTCTTGTCTCTTTCCGGCATTAACAACTTGACAAGCTGATCTGACAGAGTCGCGGGAATGGGTTCAATGCTGCCGCCCTTATTGCTCAAACTTACTAGGCAAGACTGGATGCTCCTAAGAGCCACAAATTGAGGCGATATTCTGGAAGCCAGCTCGTCTCCACTGATGATTGAAGATAAACGAGGTAAAATGTGCTTGATAGACATTTGTACCGATCTTGATAAGCCAGCGGATGGAAGTTGCGACAGACACAAAAGATCACGTCCCGCGGGAAGTAGCACGGAAGATAGAACCAGCACATTTGACCAGTGATTGATCAGCGAGGTGTGAGATAATGTGTCGCATGAATTGATCAACCCACATGCGCAGAGGGCAAACGATGCAGATACCACATCAAGGCGACGATTTATGCATCCAACGAGTCTTTCATGGAAGCCATGTTCGAGAAAGCGGCGGACAAACTGACGATCTAGTAGCTTTTCACAGAATTGGACAAAACTACTGCATCTACCTGAAGTGGTATTGTATGCATCCTCAATGTCCTCGAAGATCAATTCAATGGCGCTTCGAAAGCGGGAGTTGTCTCCAGCTTGTCTAAGCTCGTGAATCCCACGAACGGGACCGCTGTCGCTCGATTCTCCGTCACCGAGATGCGACGAGTGACTGGAGAGAATCTCGGATCCATATTTTCGCTGCCCTTGAACAAAGCGATTAACTGTTGAAGCCGGAATTTCGGAAGGACGATGATTGTCAACGATAGACGTGTCATCCAAGAAAGACCGCTGTCGCGCATAAGTGACCCTACAGCCTCCCACTCTGGATGAGACTGGGCCAGATGTTTCAGCAGTCGCCCTGTTCGCGCTTTCAGTCGCGATCTGAACAGGTCGAAAATTCGGCTGAGAGTTTGATGAACAGTCTCTATGAGGGCTGTGGCGGGGAAGCAGGTCGACTTCGGTGTCGTCGTTGGCTCTGGATGCTCGCACCGCATCTTCGACTGACAACTCCAGGGGACCAAGTGAATCCACTAACCTCCTTCGTGCAGTTATTTGGCTTCTGGTCTCTGGCCTCGAATTTGATTGGAATTGAGAGCTTGAAGTAGGAATCTCTGTAGCGTTTGAGAGTGTTTTGTTCTTAGATATTGTCTGCTCCGCACGGATTGGCTGCAAATAGCGCACTGTGGTAGATACTTCATTTCGCCCCGAACGACCCTCGGATGTCGCTTGCTGAAGACCCTGACCACGAATTTGTAGCTTGAGTTCGCTCTCATGGACATAACTTTTGCCGGTTGTGCAACTCATGTCGGTGACTGTGCTCGAATCTCTCTTGTTTCGTGCCATCCGAGAAACAGAATTATGCAGCCCATGCGAAATATCTTGGTCCCAATCTTGTTGTGTTTGCTGAGAAGTGTCAAGCTTCCTGCGTTTGTTCTGAGTAACACGGCGTTCTTTCCCACTCCGGCCTTGAAAACAATGCAGCATCTTATCAACCGGCTCAAGAACAGGGGGGTCATCCTTGGATGGGAAATGCTCGTGTTCTTCTTCTGGAGACTGTATTTCTGAGGCTTCACTTGTACAGTTTGAAGTTTTTGGTGATTCATTACGCTCATTTTGAACTTTCAGCTTTGCATAGTTACCCTTAAGTTTTCTAGGTCTGACTGTGGCAGATCCGTCGTCAATATGCCTTTCAGTGTCTTCTTTCATGTTGAATGAGATAAGAGCACGGACAGGATGCTGGAGAGGAAGGTTGAAAGGAAAGTGGAGAGGGCGGGCAGGCCATAGGGTGTCAAAGGGGGTTAAGTATAGAAGCCTCACGAGTCACGGTTGAGTGATGATGAAGGTGTAATATAATCAAATTATCAGTACCACAACCAAAGGTAGCTTACAGTTATTCCCTATCTAGGTACCTGTCGGTTAGTACCGTAACCTGGAAGGTAAATTAAGGAAACACAGTAGAGAGGTAACATAGTGCCTATGTAGGCAGAGTTGTAGATAGTATGAGCTCATGCTCTTACTATTATTATGTATCGACTTAGAGATTCTACTTTCTGATGCCATAATCATGAGAGAAATGATAAGAGAGCTAGGGCCTACCCAGATTACCGTGGACAGTGTTAGGATAAGGTATGTGTAAGGTAAGGTACCTTACTTTGTAACTGGTATGTACAGTACTACTAAGCCTTTTTGTTTCCCCATCTTAGTACCCTTTGCATCAAAAAACTATTACTGATCAGACAATCTGTTTTGTACTCTATCATTATTCTATTTGACGAGTTGTCGGAATCAGTCGAGTCCTCCTCTGTCTATCTGTGCACTATCCAGCTGTCTAGCTACCTTAAGGACAAAATCATGACAAGCATTGGAATGAATTCTGCACCTTCGCCTGCACAAGGTGTTGGCCCGATTTATAGGCCTGATGGCGAGAAGCCTACAGCAACAGTGTCCAAAGACATTTCTTATGAGAATGTCCATGTTCTGCCACAAACTCCACAACTAATTGCGCTTCTGACGTAAGAGGAATACTCAAAACCAGACCTGCCATAATAATTACATGCTATTCTTCCCACGCTGTGCCCCAGCCTGATATTGATGAGCGTTGAATTCAATTATCATAACACATGAAGAAGCGTACGTTCTGACCCATTACAGTATGATCAGGGATAGAAATACAAGCCGCGCCGATTTTATCTTTTACTCTAACAGAATTATCCGACTCTTGGTGGAAGAAGGATTGAATCATCTACCAGTTGTCGAGCGATCCGTTACAACTCCTGTGGGCCGCGAATACCTTGGGGTCAGATTTGAAGGGAAAATATGCGGAGTCTCGATAATGAGAGCCGGAGAAGCAATGGAACAGGGTCTGAGGGATTGTTGTCGGTCAGTTCGAATTGGGAAAATCTTGATTCAAAGAGATGAGGAAACCTGCAAGCCGAAACTCTTCTACGAAAAGCTCCCCCTTGATATCGCCAACCGTTGGGTGCTTCTCCTTGATCCGATGTTTGCAACTGGTGCGTCATGTCCTGAATTTCCGGTATGATTAAGAGTTACCCATGTTGATGACATGTAGGAGGTTCTGCAACGCTTGCTGTCGAAATCCTGAAGGCTAAGGGTGTGCCCGAGGATCGAATACTATTTCTCAACCTCATTGCAAGTCCGTCTGGAGTCGCAGATTTCGCAGAACGCTTTCCAAAACTTAGAGTAGTAACAGCCTTCATTGATCAAGGCTTGAACGAAAAAAAGTTGGTTGAATTCTCTCCCCATGAATAGAACACTAACTTAGCAATCCGGCAGGTATATCATCCCAGGTTTAGGTGATTTTGGTGATCGGTATTACACCATGTAGCCATGTGGCTTAGCCGGAATGGGACGTCCCAACATGTAGTGGTATGGCTCTTACGTAGAGTTGTAGATTTGCAGATCTGCTTTGAAAGTTCACAGCGGCCTGGACTACTCGTCCGACCAAAGTAATTGCTTGAATCTCGGCTATTTTGGCCATGAAACTAGTCTTGTATAAGTGTTCCATAAACTTTGCAAGTTCTCTGCCGCAGTATCGACTATAATTAGGATGGATAAGCATTCAGTCATTCTATATCACTGTTTCCGACATCATGATTGATAGTAGGGAATGAGTGCTCCTGGGAACGGGCAGCAAGTATATCATCATCACCATCATATTTATTAGCGGTATCCTTCGCGACTGCATCACAAGCATCCACCCAATCTGAGTATACATCAACAGCAGCTGAAAGGTCTAGCAAGCAGAATAGTGAACACAAGTCTCTAATGCATTTTGGGTGACTGTACTTACAGTTAATTCCTGTTTGGAACCTTTGTCCACACACTTTACAGGATAAATTTCCAAGCCCTAGCTTTTTATCTAATTTGACGATGACAGAATTTTCGTGATTGCAGAATAAGCAGGCGAATGTAGTTGGCAGTGGTTCTTTCTATATTAACTGTCAGTGTGGGTGTTGAAGGGCACATTAAAAGTGATCACCTTTTTTGGTTGCTGTGGCTGTCGACTGGACTTCTTACGTTTTCCCTGTTAATTTCAGTCAATATCTGGTTGCAATAGCTCAAAATCTAAGCTTTTGACACCAACCATGCTTTGTTATCAAGGCCTGTTTAGGTCGCGGATTGTGCTCATGCAGAAAATGATGGTTGAGTAGATGTAGCTACTGGGACTGGTGTAATTTATAGGTCACTCTAGCCAGCTTTGGATGCAGAGGTTATAAGTTTTAGGAAATATTGAAATGATGAGATCAAGATGTGCTAGAAAGTAGGTAGATAGTGAATCAGTGATTGGTATGCGGATAGCACTTCTTAATTATACTTTCTATTTTCATCCTCAGCAGAGCTTGGCATATGACCATCCGCTCTGCAGTGTCTACTGTAGATATGCACTAAGCAAGAATCTGGCGCCGCTGGGGATTACGGAAACATGAAGTGGGGCTACTCTTGTACAGTAGCCTCAGTAGGGGACTAAGGCGCCCACTCTCTATCTAACTCTCTACCTAGTCTGCTTGGAGTAGATACTAGATACATCGTATGGATACGGAGTATGAAGTACCTAGGTATGTACTCAGAGTATGTTGTACTGCAGTCTGCAGCATGGACTCGATATCCGGTGTGCTTGGTTTTACTAGATATATGTGCTTATCACTTTTATAATGGATTACATCTAATTACCTACTTATGACCAGGTACATACTCCGGGGGGCAAAGAACAAAAATTACTGCACATTTCAAGTTTCCATGGTATATATTGTCAATAATTGTGTTTTTTTAGGCATAATCTCATCGAGTTCGGAAGGCCAGCGTGGGCTAAATAGGACAGCCAAGTAAGCCAGTATAGCGATCAAGATACCAGAATCTGGATGAAGAGGAATGGGGGGGAAATGTTAAACATAGACGAGCCCCATAATATTGTGGAAGATGCTGACACATCTACTACTACTAACGTAATCAACCACCGAGCGACGAATACCACCGAGCGACGAATTTCTCCCTACGCCACCCACTTCCTTTCTTCAACGCGTTGTTTTATCACCACTATCATTAAAAATGCCTTTATCTCAAGAA